TACAGCTTACAAACTCTGGATTCATCAATCTGGATAAAAAACACACCATATATTTCTGCTTATTACATATTTTACATCATGTGACAGGTCAATATGTTGACTTACCTTACTGTTAATATGCTGTAGAACTTGAAACATTTCTCCTATTGCATCTCATATAAGCATTTTACTCGGCATAATTTTACATTCTGATCTCATTAGTTTCTCAGCAATTGGATGGCTTTCCCTTTTCTAGTAAGTTCTGCTACTATGCAAATTGTTTCATCAGCCTTTTCATTGTATATAATTTAAAAAAAAAGAAAAGCTTTATTATGTTTCAGATTCCAATAGTACCTTTAACTTGTTAAATGACTATAATTTGTAGTTAAATGTCCTTTGCATATTGCTGGAACCTTTGTTGCAATTACTTGAAAAGTTGTTTTCCAGAGACAACACAGAATGGAATTGGACAACTTGAATTACCAGCCTATGTGTAAACCCATTGTTCTCAAGATGGGGTTTTGTGTGTGTGTGTGTGTGTGTGTGTGTGTGTGTGTCTTTTGTTGCACTAGTTTAGTGAAATAACTTGCAAAATTGTCCACTGGCCCTTCTCTGGTACCTCATCCTTAAAAATGGACACATTTGATTATAAAGCATATTTGTAATTAAAATGTTATAATGTAAAACATAAGGGCATAATAAATGACCAAATGAGACAATCACAAAATTTCACAGTATAGGTTCCTTGTAATATAGTCAGTCCACATTTTAGAAAGTTTGCACTAATAGCAAAGCATTAGAAATGGGGTAACTGGTATATTTCTTGGTTTTCTTTTTTGTTTTCTTCTCTTTCTTTTCCCCAAGGATTTAAAAAGATCAGTTAGGATGTTGTGTTGAGAATAAACAGACTCTAGGGAGCCAAAGGTAAGAAGGGAGACTAGGATGGTGGCTTGTTCATAGAGGTAGATGTGGTGAAAGTGATCAGATTCTATATTTTAAAAGTAGAATTATCAGGATTTTTTTTTTAATGGATATTTGTTTGAGAGGAGGGGGGGAGAAATATCAACTTGTTGTTCCACTTATTTATGCATTCATTAATTGTTACTTGACTGGGCTAGAACCTGCAACCTTGGCATAACAGGATGATGCTCTACCAGTTGAGCTACCCGGTCAGGGCTTATCAGGTCTTCTTGATGTATTGGATGTGGGGTGTAAGACAAGAGCTAAGGAGGAAGTTAAGGTTTGGATCACATACTTGGAGAGAATTGTCTTTACCCTTGGGAAAAGTTGAGGTTAGAGCACCCTGGAAAGGGAAGGAACGGTCAAGAGATCAGTCTTAGATATCTTGAGTTTGTGATAAGAGAGATCTAAGTGGAAGTGTTGAGTAAACTGAATGAGATCAACAAGAGACCTGAGTTAGGCAAGAACAAGAGAGAACTAAGTCTTGGGGCATTCCAGGAAAAGAGGCTAGGAAGGAGTGGCAGTGGGGTAGACAGAAAACAGAGTTTGTCCAAATGAAGCAAGTACTTCCAAGAAGAGGGAGTGATCAGCTGTATCAAATGCTGCTGACGGAACTAGTAAGATGAAGACTGAGAATGGACAGTTGGATTTGGTAACACTAAATGAGATCATTGGTTGCTGACAAGAGCAGTTAGCAGTGTTGATGGAGCATATGTGGAAAACTGGCCTGGAAAGTGTTTAAGAGGGAATGGGAAGAGAGGAGTTGTTGACAACTCTGCTTTCAGAAGGGAAGAAATGGGAGAGTAGCTGAGCCTGGGAACTGAGAGCAAGAAGGCCCTCCTCTCCCTCCTCCCCGCCCCAAGGAGACACAAAAACAACATGATTTTATGGCGATGAAAATGATCCAATGAAGAGGAATGAGTAGATTATATCTAAATTCCACCATCAGTTATTATATACTCTATTGCATACCTTCTCAACTTCTTTGCCTCTTTCTTGCTTTGTCACTCTTTGATAGGCAAAACCACAAACTTGGTGAAATGCAGCACTTCTGTTACCCCATACTTGGAAAGAACACAAACTTTCACAGCAATACGAAGGGCCTTCGTTTACTCTGAGGCACTCTGGTCTCAGGCCTCAGAAATATCGGGTCTAGTAATAATTAATGTCGTTTTTAACATTCTTTTAAAATCTTGCTTGGCGTTGACTTGTATTGACATAACCTTCAAACATGTGGTATCTACAGAACGTGTGAAGTGCAATTAACAAGTTTTGCTTGAAAAAGTTTGTGTTTGGTTTGGTTTTTGTTGCAAAACTAGGGCTAAGAAGATGGTGGATGAAGAGCATATTCGGCACTGCATGCTTTACGAGTTCCAATTAGGAAGAAAAGCAAGTGAGGCTGCAAAAAACATCTGTAGTGCTCTTGGTCAAGATGCAGTTAGCGCCAGAAAATGCCAGCGTTGGTTTGAGAAATTTCGCGAGGGAAATTTTTCGTTAGATGACAAGAGTGGTCGAGGCCGTGTGTCCAATTTTGATCAAGAAGCTCTTCAAGCTCTTTTGGTGCAAAATCCTCAAATTACCCAACAAGAGCTTGCGACAACTTTAAATTGTTCACAAAAAACAATTTCCAATCAATTGCGTGCATTTGGCAAAGTCCAAAAGTTTGGAAAATGGGTTCCTCATGAGTTGACCGACAACAACCGTAATCAAAGAGTCACAATTTGCAGTTTGCTCCTCTCTCGTCAAAACCGTTTGCTGTTTTTAGAGCAAATTGTTACCGGAGATGAACAATGGGTGCTGTATGTTAATTTGAAAAGGCGGCCTCAATGGTTGGACAAAAATGAGGCTCCACAGCCCACGCCAAAACCTGACTTGCATGCGAAAAAAGTGATGTTGTGTGTTTGGTGGAATTTTAAAGGAATTCTTCATTATGAACTTTTACCATCTAACCAAACCATTACAAGTGCAGTGTATAGTGCCCAATTGGAAAGGTTAGCCCAAGCTTTAAGAGAAAAAGAACCCGCGCTGATTAATCGGAAGGGCGTAATTCTTCACCACGATAACGCACGACCGCATACTGCAAGAATCCCTGCTGAAAAACTGCGCCAGTTGGAATGGGAAGTTCTCCCTCAACCTGCATATTCTCCTGATATTGCCCCTTCCGATTACCATTAGTTTCGTTCTTTGCAAAACTTTCTTCTTGGAAAAAAATTTAATAATGAAGAATGCCTCAAAAATGCATTGACCGAATTTTTTGCATCAAAATCACAAGAATTTTACAACAGAGGGATTAAAATGCTTCCTGAGCGTTGGGCACAAGTAGTAGAAAACAACGACAACTATATTGTTGATTAAATTTTGTTGTATTGTTTAAATAAATTCGATTTAAAAAAAGTATTAGAAAACGACATTAATTATTACTAGACCTAATAAAAGCGCTGTCTGTACAGGACATGCTGGGTTAGCCCTCTGGTAATAAGGACGAGAATTGGCCTCTTTCCTGAGGAACTCGAAAGTCTCAGAAGGCAGATTTCTTTGATGTTGTCAATTTATTTGGAGAAGATTATTTGCCAGGCATGTTGAACATGGGGATATTGAGGAGTTTACAAGTTATGTGCAGTTGTAAAGTTTTAGTTAGCTGTTTAGCAGTCTATTTCTCTGCTGTTCTTGGTTGTGAGTTTCCTGAATTCTGGGAAGAGTACCTTCCTTCCCCATAGTTTTCCTCTGTGTCACTGTGGACTTTATTGTTTACCTTACCCTAGTCCTGGGAGGGAGAGGAGAGAAATGCCTGTGGCTAAATTGCTATCTTACTGTGAATTGGAAGTTTGAATAATTTCTTAGCTGTTGAAATAGGAATGATGTAAATGCCCAGTATTAATTTTTGCAAATCAGAATTTACAGTGAATTTTCCATAAGATGTGCTGCTAATGTAGTTTCAGAGAGAAACATACCACTCAACAAGAAGTAACATTTTATGGCAGCAGCAGCACTTCCGAAAACACATCAAATTCCTCCCCCTACTCCTCTTATATATACAGTTAAGTCTTAATTAACTTGGGTATTGGGAAAGTTACTTTGATTTTGTAGTCATTACCAAATAGTCAGTTGAACCCTAGCCAGTTTGGCCCAGGGATGGAGTGTGGCCTGCTCATCAAAGGGTCCCGGGTTTGATTGATTCTGGTCGAGAGCACATACCTTGGTTGCAATCTCCTCCTTGGCCTGGGCCGTGGTCGAGGCTCGGGCAGGAGGCAATCAGTCGATGTGTTTCTCTCACGTTGACATTTCTCTCTCTGTCTTTCCCTCTGTCTTCAACCCTCCCTAAAAATCAATGGAAAAATATACTCGGGTGAGGATTAATCTAAATAAATAAATAAGTAAATAAGCTAGTTGAAAAAAAGAACAGCAATTTTAAAATTTCTTATAACTTAAAAACAGACCTTGTAATTTTTTACACATAATCCAAAACTTATCAAAATTTTGTGAATCAAGATTTAATGTTTTAAAATGTATAGTATGAACTTTATAAAGATAAAACCTGTACTGCTTGAAGGAAAATATGCATGAAATGCATTAAATAAGATGTTACAGATTTTTACTCTGTCTGAACAATTTGTTATTAATGTAAAAGTATTCTCATGTAGAAATAATCATACATATTTGCAGTCTTTGAGTACTTTTGTGAATGGCAGACAATAAATATACTAATCTCAGGATGCTATTATTGGTTTGAGTATTTTAAGGAAGAGTATTAGAATAGGAAGGATAATTTTATCGCAAAAGAAATGGGGACACTAGATTGTAAATTGTGTTAGATTAGGTTTTTGCATTTTTGTAGCGCTAGGATGCTGGTAATATTTTACTGGTTGGTTTTAGGTAATAGTCACAGGTTGTGCGTTGAAGCGACTTGCCAGAAGCACATAGAGCTCACATATTCTTTGGTTTCCAGTGTTATTTTGTGTTTCCCATAACAAAAACCTTCAGCTGTATGGCAGTTATGACATCTAATGTATAGAAAACAGAATTACATTTAATTATCTTAAAAAAAATTTTTTTTTTTTTAGATTACCTGCAATGGTGAAATGAAGTAACTCAAGATGAGCAAGTTAAAAGTGGCATCAGATAAAAGGTATTGTAATTCTAAATACCAACATGAATAAATGACAGAAATAATGCATGAAGCAGTTATTTGAAACCATCACTTTAAAAATATTATTTATGTTTAAGTTAGCCAGTTTGGCTTAGTTTGCTGGAAGTGTCGTCCCTTATGCCAAAAGTTTGCGGGTTCAATGCCTAGTCAGGGCATATAGACAACCCATTGATGTTTCTCTCTCCCATCAGTGTTTTCTTCCATCTCTCTCTCACTTTCTCTCTTTCACTTTTCCCCTTTCTCTCTCTCAAATCAATAAAAACATATCCTCAGATGAGGACTAAGAAAAAAAAAAAGGCTACAGCAGGCAGATATTTTCTCTTCATTTCATTCATCGTCGTCATGATCATGCCCTAAATGTTACCATTGGCAAAATTCTAATTTCTAAGTACTAATTCAGACTTTTTATTCTCCAACAACAATCTTTCATCTGTGTATCTCACTTGTGCAAATATCTGTATTGTAAGTGTTCTGCCTTACCCAGAACTCTAGTTTATTGACTTTTATTGTTTTCTCACTTAATCTTCTTTTTTTCCTAGTGTAGAATTGATTATTTCCAGCAGAGCTTTTCTCTTTTCTTGTCAAAGATTAATACTGTCACCTCTGTTCTAGATTTTATACCTCCTTCCTACTCAGAGTCTTTTAATTATTATTTATTCTTCTGTCTTGAATCTTTAATTACTCCATTTATTACCATTTAAAAATAATCTGGACTTTCCAGTATTTATAGACTCTGTTCTTCTGTTACTGTCCAATTTATACAATTTTTTTAAAAGCCCAAAGTTTGAAATAGTCTATAAATGCAATCTACATTTCATTTCACATTCTCCAACCACTCTTGTTTAGTTTCTGTCTTATCCACTATACCTGTGGTCAGCAAAATGTGACTCAAGAGCCACATGCAGCTCTTTGGCCTCTTGATTGTGGCTCTTCCACAAAATACCACCTTATATAATACATCCCTCTCCAAACTGCTTGCCTGCCTGCCTGATTGCCCTTAACTGTTTCTGCCTGACAACCTGATCACCCCTAACCACTCCTCTGATCAATGCCTAACTGCTCCCTGCCAGCCTGATTGCCCCTAACTGCCCTCCTGTGCTAGCCCGGTCACCCCTAACTGTCCTCCCTTGCTAGCCTGGTCACCCCTAACTGCTCTCCTCTGCTGGCCTGATTGCCCTCAACTGCCCTCCTTTGCAGGCCTGGTCCCTCCCAACTATGCTCCTCTGCTGGCCATCTTGTGGTGGCCATCTCTTTATTTAAAAAATTATCTCCTTGTTCATTGAAAAGCTATATAATTGTGTGTTGGTTTGTGTGTGTGTGCTTTTTTTAATAAAGTCTAAAAATTATTCAAATGGTATAGCTGCCCCCTGGTGTTCATCCTATGATTCTCTCAACATTAGTGTCAATAGCCTTAAATTTTGGAGCTGAGTCAGTAGTGGCTTAGAATATTTTATTCAGTTTTCATTCTGTAGATGAAAAAAGTACAAAAATGGAATGCTCATGCTCTGAATTTCCATTTTTTTTTCTTTCCTTCAAAAAATAAATTCATCCACATCCATGTAATAGCAGGATTCTCAGAAAGGAGTCTCTTAGATGAAAGTTTTATTTTTTTATTTTTATTTTTAAAAAATCCTTACCTGAGGATATTTTCCCATTGATTTTTAGAGAGAGGGAAAGACAGAGAGAAACATCGATGCGAGAGAAACACATGGATTGGTTGCCTCCTGCAGGAGCCCTGACCAGGGCTTGGGCCGGGGAGGAGCCTGCAACTGAGGTATGTGCCCTTGACTGGAATTAAACCTGACACTCTTCAGTCTGCAGGCTGACACTTATTCACTGAGCCAAACCGGCTAGGGCAAAAGTTTTATATATATATTTTTTATAGTAGTACAAATTAATTTAACATTTTAAGAGTTACTGACAAAACAAACTCTTAATTTGGAACGGAATAAAATGTGTGTTATGCTTAGTGTGTTCTGTATGTTTTTGAATTTTTTAAATAGATGTTTGATTAGCTATTAAAAATATTAACACATGAAAATAATTGAAAAAAATTAGGAAAACACACTCAATTAGTATGTTTCTGAATTTTGTTTTCTGTAATGCAAATTTCTCTTAAAGATGTATTTTCCCTAGTATGCAAAACTGTGGTATCTTTTTTTTTTTTCTATTTAAAATTTTTTTTTTATTAATTAAGGTATCACATATTTGTCCTCAACTCCCCATTCCAATCCCCCACCCCTCCCTACTCATGCCCCCACCTCCCTATTGTCCTTGACCACTGGTTAGGCTCATATGTATGCACATAAGTTCTTTGGTTGATCTCTCCCTTTTATCCCCACCCTCCCTTTGAGGTCCAACAGTCTGACCCATGGCTCCTTATCTCTGGGTCTGTTCTTGTTCATCAGTCTATGTTGTTCACCATTTCTGCTAGATGAGTGAGATCATGTCCTTCTGAAAATATACTTATAAGAATAAAAAATGAGACAAGCAATAATCCTTATGCTGAAAGGCATATGAATCAGTCTGTAGTGAGTTTCTTTCTTGGCCAACAGTTCTTTTGAGACCCAATTTCAATGTCAAACAGTTCCTTATGTGTACATGTCAGCAATGATATTTCAGTTCTGGATGGTGGACAAATGGTGGTAATGCAGGTCCAACCCTCTCTTGTTTGGTCCTGGGCATCCTGCAGTGACACACAGCTGCTGACTGTTATATGGCAAGGCGTCGTCAGCGTCTTCCATCTCTGGACTGCTTCTCTTCTGCCTTCATGGTTGGGGTAGTCCTGTTAATTCCTCTCTGTTGCCAGAATCCACATGGTCTCAGAGTTGTTTTCTCTGATTCTATTATGTTCAACAGTTAATATTGTTCATCAGATTTTTTTTTTTTAATTTCCTTGGTTTTCAGATTCACTTGTTGATAGTTACGTATTTGTTGTTTATAATTTTTATCTTTATTTACTTTCTCTTCTGAAAGAACCCCCTTCAGCAATTCATATAATTCTGGTTTGGTGGTGATGAACTCCTTTAGCTTTTTTTTATTAGTGAAGCTCTTTATCTGACCTTCGAATCTGAGTGATAGCTTTGCTGGATAGATTATCTTTGGCTGTAGGTTCTTGCTATTCATCACCTTGAATATTTCTTGCCATTCCCTTCTGGCCTGCATGGTTTCTATTGAGAAATCAGCTGACAATCGTATAGGTGCTCCTTTATAGGTAACTACCTTCTTTGCTCTTGCTTCTTTTAATATTCTCTTTGTCTTTTGCTCTTGGAATCTTAATTATGATTTGTCTTGGTGTGGTCCTCTTTGGATTCCTTTTGTTTGGAGTTCTGTGCGCTTCCTGGGCTTGTAAGTCTAATTCTTTCATCAGGTGGGGGAAGTTTTCTGTCACTATTTCTTTCAGTATGTTTTCAATATCTTGCTCTCTCTCTTCTTCTGGGACCCCCATAATTCTGATGTTGGTTCGCTTGAAGTTGTCCCAGAGGTTTCTTACGTTATCTTCAACTTTCTGGATTCTCTGGCCTTCTTGCGTCTGCGGAGGAGTGTCTTCTGGCTCTTTATGTTCCAAATCTTTGACTTGATTCTTGCGATCTTCCATTCTGTTTTTAGGACTCCATAAAATATTATTTATTTCAGACAATGTATTCTTTATTTCTTGTTGATCCCTTATTATTTCTAGTTGATCCCTTTTCATATCCTCATAGGTTTTGTTTATTTTATCGGCCTTTTCTAGGAGATTCTTGAACAACCTTGTAAGTGTGGTTTTGAACTCTATATCCAGTCACTTTTTGTCCTCCATTTCTTTCGTTTGTGATCTATTTGGTTTAGGCATTTTCGCAGGCAGCTTTCCTGATGGGGCGAGGTTTCAGGGTGGAGCCTTCAGCCTTGGCTTCCGTCAGCCCCACCCTATGCGACTCCTGAGACTCAGGGTCCTTCAGTACTTGTTGCGAGCGCCTCTGAGAGAAAGGTGCCCTCGATTTTCGCCTGCTGCCAAACTGTCTATGCTCTCCCCCAATGAGTCCGGTATTGGGGTTCAGTTCAGTTGGTAGTGGGATTGGAGGTGGTGTTCAGAGCAGTCTGGAGCCCCTGTCTCCTTCCCGTCAGGGCAATCCCGCGGCACAGCCGGCCGGCCCTTCTCTGCGCGCAGTGTGCGCGGCTCCGGGTCCTCCTTTCGCTGCTTCCCCGGAGTCCCGCCTTACAGCCCGGCTCCCTATGGATGAGCCTGGGTCCCCAGGGTCTGGCCTAGAATTGGGGTTCAGAGCAGTTGGAGCTGGGCCCAGCACAGTCGGAGCTTTTCTCTCCTTCCCGCTTGGGACCGCCAGCCAGGCTCTCGGCCTCCCTCCTCACTGGCTCCGTCCTCTCCGCACGCCGCGTGTCTCCGTACCTTGGGCTTTTACAGCTCCTCCGCGCTTCCTTCTGGTTTTCTCCTTGCTTCTTGTTGTAGAATTTCCAGTCAGTCGACTTTCCTGTAGTTCTGGGTAATGTCCATTTTATATTTTAGTTGTATTTTATTGAAATTGTTGTGTGCGGCTGCGGCTAGTTGCCTACCCGGGCAGCCATCTTGGATTCTAAAACTGTGGTATCTTAATGTAATTTCTCACCACAAAAAATTAGAGCTCTCAAAAAGAACAGGTTTGGCTCTTTGTACTCTTAAATGAATGAAGACTCTAAAAAGTTTTGTTGATATGGATTTTTTAATCTATTGATACTTACCATGTTATAAATTAAAACTGAGGAATTAAAAATTATCTATTTAAAAATAATAAACAATGCATAATGACACAATAACATTTTATATTAAAGATAACTATTTTCAAAATATAGTAAGAAGAATGCTATTGATTTATTACATATTTGAAAACATAATGTTTGACTTAATGGAAGACAGATATTTCTTCTTCTGAGTTCAGTCTCTGGTGGTTTGTACAAATTAACTTACTGTTAAAGAAAATGAGAGAGAATATGAATTTGGGAAATTTGAACTTGGAAATTAGATGTTGATGTTAAAGGATTATTGTTACTGTTTTTGGTATAGTAGTGCTATTTTAGTTATACTAGAGGCCTGATGCATGAAATTCATGCAAGAGTAGGCCTTCCTTCCTCTGGCTGCCAGCACCGGCTTCCCTCTGGCACCCGGGACCCAGGCTTCCCTCGCAGCCCTGGCTTCATCCAGAAGGATGTCTGGTCTCATTAGCATATTATTCTGTTATTATTATAGATACATTCTAAAGAGTTCTTATTTTAAAAACAGATAATTAATGCCAAAGTATTTACATAGGAAATGATCTCTCTGAGATTTGCTTCAAAATTAGCCAATGGATGGGTGTGCCTAAAAGTAAGCATGTGTGAAATAAGATGGTCCATAAATTGATAATTGTTGAAGCTGGGTGATAGGTACATGATAGTTAATTTTCCTATTTTGACTTCTTTTGTTCATGTTTGGATTTTTTAAATAATGTTAATGTTTTGCTCATTCATATTTATAGTAATAGTTTTAAGGAAACATTTATCTCTTTTGCAATATTGGAAGAAAAAGAAAATATATAAAAACTTAAACATGTAATTTATTTTTCTCACCACAAAAATAAGTTACATGTTTAAGTTTTTATATATTTTCTTACTAAATTACAGAATTTTTAAATTAAAAATATGAGATATTTCTGAAAACCAGAAAATATAGAGCATAATATAATAAACACCTTGTACCAATCACCCAAGAAATAAAACTTACAAATGTGACGTGTCTGAAAAAGGCATGTCAGAGGGCATCACTCTCAAAACTTCCCATTTCACTTAGTGAAAAACAGTGATCTTGCTGTGCTCTAATATAAAGTAACATTCTCTTTAGCCTTACCAATAACTCTCGGGTTGTCGGACTCCTCGCTCAGCTGGAGAAGATCAGTACTGAGCCTACAGAATCAGATACTGCCAGATATGTTACGTCAAAAATTCTTCATCTGGCTCAAAGTCAAGGTGAGTTTTAACCTCTTGTTTTGGGAATGCTTTTAAAATTCTTTAACAGTGGAGGCAGCTAAGAATGTTTAAACTTATATTAAACGATTTTCTGTAAAAATCAAACTTCTTCAAATAGACTCAAGAAGTAGAAAATGGAATAGCTGTGAAAGAAGTTAATTTTCAAAGCATTGTTTCTAAGAAATGATTAAGATTTTACATATGGACGAATCCCTCCCTCCCCTCCCCCTATCAATTTTCAAGAAATACCTAATTCTAGTGCTACTTGCACTAGGACGTTGACAAAAGATGTCAGGTAGCAGAGAACATTGGTTATTAGTGTGGTGCCTGCTTTGAAATGCAGGCTTTGTCATTCAGTGCCTGGGGGATCTTAAGGAAGTATTGAATCTCTAGGACTTAGTTGTACCATCTCTGAAATAGGGATGAGAAATATCATGTGATTATTAATGCTTTGTTTTTGTTGGTGTTTTGTTTTGAGGATAATACAGTGAATATACCTGGTACACATATCTTTGCACTAATACAATAAACATCCTTATACATCTGCCTTTGTTGATAAGCATAATATTTCCAAAGGCTAGAATCTAGAACAACCACTTTCTGAATTAAAAGATGCAGGTATTTTAGATTTTTCTAGAAACAAATACATTCTATTAGTGACCTCTCCTGGGTTTTGAGGTGCTGTTAACTAACCCCTAAACACAGGGGTTACATAGGAGGTGTTACATTGATAGGTTTCTGTTTTCACCAATTTGATGAAATGTTTTCTAGTTCTGGTCATAAAGATGATAGAGGCCTTCCATTACCACTGCCTCTTCACCTTCATTTCTGGTGCCTGTACTGTGATAATGATTTTTAGATTATAGATGGACAGACAGGGATTCACCTAGTTCCTACTAGGAGCTGTGCTAAAGACCAAGGAAAGTCTACAGAGAATAGAATTAGCAGCATCAGAGGGAAGATCATGTAAGAACCAATTTAGAATGTTTACTGAACCAATGGAGACTTGTTTATTCTATGGTAGCTGTATAATAAAATGATATATACTTACATATATAAGTATGTATATATAAGTATGTATATATGTATATCGATATATATGTATATATTTATATATTTGTATATTTCCCCCCCCCCCCCCTTTTCAGAAAAAATAAGGAGAGAAATGACAGCCAAAGGTTCTACAGGAATGGAAGTTCTGCTCTCAACATTAGAGGTAAAGCATTTACAGGCTTTAATCATGTAACTATTAGTATCAATCAGTACTGAAGAAAAAAATAGTATATAAAGTATAACATTTTTATCCTAGAGGTAAAGCCAATGAATGGAAGTTTGTTTTATGTTTTAGATTAACATTTGGAATGGTTATATAAACATTCTAATATATATTAGGCAAACCTCTAAGTATATTACCCTATGATTATAATGATAACCACATTTTAAATCTTTACATACCATTCTAATTGGTAATAGAAATTAAAGCATTAGCTAGAAATAAGTCTTTAGCTTAATATAGTAAATTATTGGCATTGGAAATCCTCATTTATTGTGTTATGTCAGCTGACATATATTTTTGATTTAGTTTACTACATATATTGGTTGAATAACTGTATTATATTGATAATAATTAAATTCTATGCCAGTGTGAAAGTTTTGGGTAGATCAGCTGGATACATTTAGAATCATTATTTTATATTTTATTAAGAATAGAGGGTAAGTACCATTATATACCTTAAACTTACATAATGTTGTATATCAAATTATATTTCAAAATAGATGGAAAAACAAGAACAGGGTGTGATTTTATGTTTTTTGATAGGAGTTACTTCCTGTCAAAAAAGTTGTTATTCTAAATTGATCTGTTAGTTTAAAGCAATCTTGATAAAAATACTAACTTTTTTTTTCTATAATTCAGTGGGAAAATAAGAATAGAAAGGATATTTCTGAAAAATAAAGGAGAAAATATCAGAGAACATTATAAAATTTCAGTAATTCAGGTAGTTTAGAAATTGTGGGTGGGAACTAGATAGACATCAGTGGAATAGAATGGAAAAATCCAAATTAAATTAAAAATGTTTATGGGAATTTAGTACTACTTAATCAATGGTAGCATTTCAGAGGGATAGGGGGATTGCTTTAATAAGTGGAACTGGGTCAAATTGGTAGCCATGCAGAGGAGTATAATGTTAAATCCTTACTTTCTACACTAAAATAAATTCCATATCAAGCAAATATTTAAGCGTGTAAAAAACCCCCAGAATACTTGAGAAACTAATGAGAAGAATTTTAAAAAATACATATTTTATTGATTTTTTTACAGAGAGGAAGGGAGAGGGATAGAGAGTCAGAAACGTTGATGAGAGAGAATCATCGACCAGCTGCCTCCTGCACACCCCCCCACTGGGGATGTGCCTACAACCAATGTACATGCCCTTGACCAGAATCGAACCTGAGACCTTTCAGTCTGCAGACCGACTCGGCAATGCCAAACCGGTTGTGGCAATGAGAAGAATTTTTAATAATCTTGGCACAGGGAAGGCTTTTCAAAGTATAAAAAAAAAACAGGAGCCATAAAAGAAAAGATGGATAAATTCAACTATATTAACAAAAATGCAATGGGAAAAAACATCATAGACACTTGGCAAACTGAGGAAAAAAGATTTCAACATATATAATTTCTTTAACATATAAAAAACTTGCACAAATTTGTAAGGGATGAAGTCTACCCAATAGAAAAATGTGTAAAGGTTATGAACAGACAGCTCCTAGAAAAGAAACACAAATTGCACTTGAGATAGAGCATCATTGCTTCTTCTCCCTATTTGGTTGTGTCACAAATTATTGAGGTCAGCAGAGGTGGGAGGTGATGAATTTTATTTGGGAGACTTGTCTAGATAAGGCCTAAAGATAACAGTGCAACTTCCATTCAGGTTCCAATAGCCTGAGCTCAGTCACATGGCTCAAAATTAATTATAAAAAGTTTGGGTCCTTCAGTCTGTGAGCTAAAATATGAAGTGGAGACACCCATTTCCTTTTGGAAAGAGGGATAAGATTCCCATGCCAGTTACTGATGCACAGTAATTCTGAGATTCCTCTGTATAACACTATAAAATTCTCTATCCTGGTTATGGTGTTTCCTTGAATAGGCCATGCTTCTGTTCTGTGTATCTGTTTTATTTTTTGTCCATTCAACCATTGTCTTTTATATATATAAATATTTATTGATTTCAGAGAGGAAGGGAGTGGGAGAGAGAGATAGAAACATCAATGATGAGAGAGAATCATTGATCGGTTGCTTACTGTATGCCCCTACTGAGGATTGAGCCAGAAACCTCTGGGCATAGGACCCGACTGGGAATTGAACCATGACCTCCTAGGGCAATGCTTAACCACTGAGCCATACAGGCCGGGCCAGACATGGCTTTTAATAAGAGAAATGTAACCAAGTGTAATATTTAATTTTTTTTTTTAAATTAGATTGGTTGTCCAGACTTTGGGAAATAGTTAATCTTCTCCATTGCTGGTGGGAGTGTAAATTGCTCCATTAAGAGCAGTTTACTATAAAAATACTCATATTCTTTGACCCAGAAATTCAAGGAACTTATCCTACATATAGCTGTAATTGATTCCATGTAAATATATGTAGTATTTGTTGCAAATTCTTAATGCCAAATAACTTTATTCATTTTGCTTTTACATCTTTGTTGTTGAAAGTATTACATATGTCTTTTGCAGTTTTTTAATAGCAAAGGATTTTTTAAAATCGCATTGGAAAAAAAATTTCATTGATAGATGATTGGTTACATCAACAATTGTTTAGCCATATAGTGGAATACTTTCTGAAGTCCTTAAGATGATGAAAAAACTATTTATTGATATGTAAAAATATCAGTTTACAAAACAATATATATGTAGGGCAATACTATTTGGAGAAATAAATCAGTATACACATGTATATTTACATGGATTTTTAAAATATCTGCATATTATCTTTGGCTGGCTACATGGAACCAATAACACAGTTGTCTTCTGAGAGGGGAGCTAGGTGACTAGATAGTTATCATATATACATTGTAGTGCCTTTATATTTTGATTCATTTATTTTTATTGCCTATTGGGCAGATGATGATGAATTCAAATACCAATTAATTCCTCTTGTAATAATATTGATACTAAGAAAATAATAGCCAGATTATTTGTAAAAATTTTTAAGGGCAAGAAGAGAATAGTGGAAACCTCATCACATTTGTTCTTAGAGAAATTGGAAAGGTCATCTGTAAAATACAGATAGTTCCCAACAGGAATAGAAAAAGTTTGGGAATTACAGATTTATAACGATTTAATAAAGCAAATAAACTATTTATTTCAGAGCACGAAAGATCTTCAGACTACACTTAATATCTTGAGCATTCTTGTTGAGCTGGTGTCAGCTGGTAAGTTTTTTTTTTTTTTGTCTAATTTCTATTTGTAAATAGTGATCAATAATGTGTCATGTGTACTTTATGAGGAATTTTCTGATACTCATATAGAGGCTATTCTGAGTATTGGAATTTGGAAACTGGTAGGTCATATTCTTGTTGTTGCTTGTTTTTGTTATTTTTCAGTATTCCTTAAATTGGAGCCCTGAACATAGAATTTTGGCACTGCTTGTATTTACTCTTTGTACTGTTTTCTAAATAAAACAAATGAAATAAAACAAAATTTTATTTTGATGTTTGTTTTTTTTATTTCAGAAGTCTTCACTTTAAATATTTTTTGAATGCTAAAAGTTGTGCTATTTGATATGTTATGGGAAGATCTGCTGTTTAAACAAATAAAAAAATTTTTTTTTTAAGGTGGAGGTCGAAGAGCTAGTTTTTTAGTTGCCAAAGGTGGTTCACAAATATTGTTACAGTTACTTATGAATGCCAGCAAAGAATCTTCCCCAAATGAGGAGTTAATGGTGCAGATTCATTCTATTCTTGCAAAGATTGGACCGAAAGGTAAGGATTGCACTTGTATGATTAGAAGCATCTTTGTGACACGGCTTATCTGTGCCTTGATACTGGTAAAATTTTAAATCTGGAATGCTACCCTTTTTCTTGATCTTAAGCCATGAAATGCTTTCCAAAGCCAATTAGTGACCTGAAAGAATTGAGGATCCTGATAGATTCTTGAAGAATTGCATTGCATGTATGGGAAAAAGAAGAAAAATGTCAAAATCACAAGTGTGTCTTGGTGTGTGTGTGTGTGTGTGTGTGTGTGTGTGTGTGTGTATGTGTGATAAAAAGTTATAAGATCAGTTATTGTAACATGTCATGCAAAGAATTATAAAAATTGAGAAAACACAGAATATGAAACAAAGAAGCTGATTTAGGTTAACAAAGTAATCATTTGAATAGAACCTAATTTCAGTTTATAGTTGTCTATCTGCACAGAGATAAAAATGATCACCTAAATTCTTCAAATAATGATTTCTGAGTTCTGCCATTGCCTTATGACATACATATAGGTCTTACACTTTGAAGTATTTGTTTAAATGCTTATTCTAAAGGGTATGTATGTATGTATGTGTGTGTATACAGCTTGACTAGGAATCGAATCTGTGACTCTTTGGTGTACGGGGCAACACTCTAACCACCAAGCAAAACCGTCCAGGGTTATAAGGAGTACTTTTTAAAAAATCCTCACCCGAGGATACTTTTCCATTGATTTTGAGAGAGCGTGAAAGAGAAAAGGAAAGACAGAGAGAAACATCAATGTGAGAGAAACACATCGATTGGTTGCCTCCTGCACGAGCCCTGACCAGGGTCAGGGAACCTGCAACCAAGATGCATGCCCTTGACTGGAATTGAACCTGGGACCTTTTGGTTCGCAGGCCGACACGCTATCCACTGAGCCAAACCAGCTAGGGCATATAAGAAGTACTTTTAAAATCATTCAAGAAAATGATTATAATTTTAGATTTGTCAGGTCAACTTTACATTTGTAATATAAGTTCATAAGTTTTTAAATTTCATTGCTTTATGACATTTTAATTTCACTCAAAGTTCCATATAAATACATTGTGTTAATTTTTTATAAACAGACAAAAAATTTGGAGTGAAAGCTAGAATTAATGGAGCTCTGAATATAACCCTGAACTTGGTCAAACAGAATTTGCAGAATCATCACCTGGTTTTGCCTTGTCTTCAGCTTTTACGAGTATATTCTGCAAACTGTGAGTATTTCAGCGTAGTTTTTAGTTAACTCAGTATTTTGAAGTTACAGAAAATAAAAATTTAAAAATACCTTAACTCCATAACTCTCTAAAATTTGTGGACAAGTTAAAGAGAATATTTAATAATGGCTTTTTATAATGTCTAGCTGCACCACCATAGAAGTGATATGTGTTAAGAAGGAGAATTGGCAAAAATCTTGAGAATTGTCATGAATTCCTCTAACTGTAAAAGCTTGTAGTGACGGGGGGGAGGGAGTAGGCACCTCGTGGGAAATATGTGGAAGAATGTGAGAGTATTGGCAGCTGGAAAACTGCCGTGCCTATTTAGGTTTTCACAGATGAGAGGAAAGCTGAGAGGGAAGGCAAGTAGCATAGTCATCTGGAGCTAATGACCTTCAGCAATCAGTAGGGAAGTATCAGAACAGCAAATAAGTAGTACAGGAGCCCCCGAGGCAACTGGAAAGAAGAGGGCTTACTAAGAGAAACTCAGATGAAGTATCTTTCCTATCCCTGTCCCCCTCTCCCCCTCTTTTCCTCTCTCCCTCTCTTCTTCTCTTTTCTTCTTCTCTCCCTCTCTCCTCCTCTCCTTCCCTGTCTCTGTCCCTCCCTGTCTCTGTCTCTCTTTCTCCTTCTCACCCATATTAGATCTCAAACCCATAAGGTTCTTTCTATTCCTTGATTACGGAATTGGGGTGGTTAATAAAACATCTGAAATTGAAATTATAGAGTACATGGTCTTATACAGTATCACTGCAAAATAATCAAAGTGGTAGATATGTTTGCATATGTATTTATGTGTATTTATACATACACTAGAGGCCCAGTGCACAAAATTTGTGCACTGAGGTGTGTGTCCCTCAGCCCAGCCTGCATCGTCCTCAATCTGGGACTTCCCTCTCACAGTCAAGGACTGCTGGCTCCCAACTGCTCACTTGCCTGCCTGGTTGCCCCTAACTGCTTCTGCCTGCCAGCCTGATTGATGCTTAATTGCTCCCCTGCCAACCTGATTGCCCCTAACTGCCCTCCTCTGCAGGCCTGGTCACCCCTAACTGCCTTCCCCTGAAGGCCTGGTCACTCCTAACTGCCCTCCCTTGAAGGCCTGGTTATCCCTAATTGCCCTCCCCTGTAGACTTGATTGCCCCCAACTGTCCTCCCTTGCAGGCCTGATCCCTCCCAACTGCCTTCTGCTGGCCTGATCATCTACAACTGCCCTCCCCTGCTGGTTGATCGTCCCGTCCACAACTGCCCTACCCTGCTGGCCATCTTGTGGCCATCTTGTGTCCACATGGGGGCAGCCATCTTTGACCACATGGGAACAGCCATCTTGTACATTGGAATGACAGTAAATTTACATATTACTATTTTATTATTTATTCATACATACATATTTATGTATTATGTGTGTATATCTATCTGCTTTGACAATATGGCTAAAGGTGGGCTCAGAGGAATCTAGTTCTGAGCACTTAAGTAATTAACACTTAGAATTAAAAAGAACATAAAGAAATGAATAAATTGTACAATATATCTAACCAAAGAAGTTAGGAACAGAGCAAAAACACAAGAAAAGAAGAGGAATGAAATAGTAAAGGAAAAAAAACACACACGTAGAAAAAAACAAAAAACAAACCCCAGCTGATCAAAAAAAAGAAAACAGACTAAAAATAAATAAAATAAGCCACTGATTTCTGCAATTAAGGAAGAAGAAGCAAGACAGCACAGACAAAAATAGAAGGGGTAATGGAATACTAAACAGATGCAGAGGAAATTAAAATCAGCATATTAGAACTTTAGGAATTATATTTTTGGTGGCATTTTATTGACTTAATCACTAGAAGGCTAGTAAATGGCTACCTGTAACTTTAAAATAATATTTGTTCAGAGCTGAAAATGTTATGCACAATTTTCTGATTAGGTAATTGTTTGCCTCTTCTGTGTGGAACCTTTCCCTGCTGAGCTGTTTATTCATGTCCTCATCACCTGCCACCTAGCACACAGCCTCCTGATGTCTCTCTCAAACATGCCTTCCCCAGCGTGCTGTGAGGCTGACCTGTATTCAAAACGCAGATCTTATTTTAAAACAAACATGTGTTGACTATAAAAATTTTAGTGTACCTTCTTCTAGCTTTTATCCATACATTATTAAAATGTATGCTTTGTTAATTTACTGTCTGTTGGTGCTATTTCACACACAATGTTTTTTTATCTATTATTTTCCAAAAAATGAGTGTTATTTTTTTTGCCAGCAGGGGGAGGGGAGATACTTTCCTATGGTTGAAAGAATGAACAACTTTTAGGGTAATAATTTGCTTTTTACCCAGCTCATCTTCTCATTAGAATGCTTTTTTTTCCCTGATACTATATCCACTTCTGCCCCTTTCTGCAACTCCTATCCTAACTAACTCCTTGTCATTTGTAAAGACTGAGCCCAGAGCCCTGGCTGGTTTGGCTCAGGGATAGAGTGTAGGCCTGTGGACCAAAGGGTCCCGGGTTTGATTCTGGTCAAGGGCACGTACTTTGGTTGCAGGCTCCTCCCAGGCCTGGGCCCTGGTCAGGGTACGTGCAGGAGGCAACCTATAGATGTTTTCTCACATCCATGTTTCTCTCTGTCCTTCTCTCTCTCTTTCACTCTCTCTCAAAATCAATGGACAAATATCCTCTTGTGAGGATTAAAAAAGAAAAAGGAAAAAAAGACTGAGCCCAGATATCCATTTCTCCAGAAATGCCTTCTATTTCACTAAGAATTAAGGACTCCTCACTGTTGTGATCTAAATAACCTGTAACTCTTCATCTTTTTAACAAGTAATTTAGTATTGATTTGTTTACTGTTACTGTCATTCTCCTGTAAACAGTTCTTTGTTTTTGTCTTTCCATGACGTGGTATTTAGTAGAGTTTTTGAAGAAACAAATGAAGCAACTTAAAAGTATTTTTTTAGAAGTAACGTTTTGTTTTCTATAACTTCTTTCAGAATTTCCTGCAATTTCTGAAAGTAAAATAAAGTAAAAAAAAAAAAAAAGTAAAAAAAAATATATACCTTTAAGTGATTGGTTAAGGTGGATGAGGGAACTTGAATTATATTTACTGAATAATTAATATATATTTTGACTATGTTTCACCAAGTATATATGTACATTCCTACTTACTGAGTTTTAAAATAATTTAAAATTTTTTCTTCCCCTCCCAGCTGTGAATTCAGTATCCTTAGGGAAAAATGGAGTTGTGGAACTGATGTTTAAAATCATCGGACCATTTAGTAAGAAGAATTTGAGTCTTATGAAGTAGGTAAATGTTTTGAGTATAAATAGAGATATTCTTTGTTATTCTGGATCTCATCATCTTGATCTGTACAATGAACAGTAGAGTTAAATTGTAGATAGTGATTTTATTATGATAAAGATTTTCTTTGCTATAAAGTTTAATTTTCAAATTATATCAAAATTAGAAAACTTTAAATTCATTGAATATAGTGTTATAGAAATTTAGACTTTGAAAATTCCTAGATACTATAAGGAAAAAAAGGTTTATAGAGTATCATTCACTCAGAAACATTTATTGAGTGCCTACTATCTTCCCTACCAATTTTTCAATCTTCTAATGACCATGTCCTTCATTCTCACAATTACCTGGACATATTTTTAATTTATACTTTTTTGTGCCAAAATAATGTCATTCTTAAAAAAACAAAAAACAAAACAAAAAACCACCACATTTATAGGTCTTTCAACCTCAGACAATAAAAAAAAAAAAAAAAGCCGTATTTTCTTAGACCCTATTAAAGGTCATACTTTAAAAAAAATTTTATGTGGAATTTTTCAAATATACATAGAGTTTACATTATAGTAAACTAATTGTCTTGAATAGTTATATTAATTATGTGCAGTTGTCAGCACTCTGCCATTTTTTTTTCCATTTATTTTCTTACACGTTTTATTTTTGTTGGGTTATTTTAAAGCAAATCCTAAATGTCATATGAATTTTTGTAAGCAAATCTCAGATATTTTCTAATTTTTCCCTTAAGAACTTCAGTGTATCTCTACTAAACAGGGACTTAAAAAATGACCACTATACTATAGTCACACTCAACAAAATTATTAACTCCTTAATATAATCTAAAATCCAGTCTGTGTTCTAGGTTTTCCAGGTGTTTCAAGATGCCCTTTTACAGTTGGTTTGTTTGAATTGGGATCTAACCAAGATACACACATTATTCCTCATTATATTTAGGAAATTTCCAAAACTACTCAAAAATAGAAGGAATTGAATAATGAACCCTGATATGCCTACCCATCATTCAATTTCAACAAAAATCAACACTCTGTCATTTTTAATTTATCTTTCTCTTTCTGGTCCTTCCCTTTCACCACCCTATTCTCCCCTCAGCCCCCCAGAGTATTTTAAAATAGATATCAGCTATTTGTCCCATAATTTTTTTTGTGTGTGATTGCTGTTACACACGGAGCTCCTTTAGAGTTATCACAGTATCATTTCTTTGCCCAACAATATTAATAATTCTTTAATATCCACTGATATTTTCTGATTATCTAAGAAATCTTTTTTTTTTCCCAGTTGGCTTGTTCAAATCAGGATTCAAATAAAGTCTATACATTCTATTTGATTACTATGTCTTATAATCCTTTGAAATCAATAACAGTCCCCCTATTTTTTTGGTTCTGTTTTGTTATTTGTTGAAGGACCTGGGTGCTGTCTTATAGAATGTCCCAGCATTGTGGATTAAGATGACTGTATCCTGGGGTCATTTAAACATGTAGGTATATCCCTCAAATTTTCTGTAGACTGATAGAGCTAGAGGCTTGACTAGATTTGGGTTCTTTTAATTCCAATTAAAAAAAAATGTGTCGTAGGTGGTAGTCACTCTATTTCACATCACTTAAGATTATTGAGTTGATGTAATCCATCTACTTTTCACCTGGTAATTTAGCAATATTTAATGACATTGTCCAGATCATTGATTTTGCTAATTTATTCTTCTTTTTGCTTTTATTAGCTATGATTCTTTTATAAGGTAGAACTTGTCCACGTTAACTATTTGATTAAATTCTACTTACAAGTTTCAGACCATTTTCAGTCTTCTTACCCATTCTTAGTAAGATAAAATATTTTAGCTGTATCCTTTTGAAAATGAGAACTTACTTGCACATATAATCATTTATTAAATATTATTTGGTGGGATAACTTAACAAACTTGTGCAAGGGTCATATACAATCTTAGAGCATCTGATGAAATGTAACAAGACAAAGAAAATTATTGTGTCACAATTAGTAAAACCAACTTAGTGTAGTGTAATGCAGTGAGTAGGCTCTGGAGGTAGGCAGAACAGGTTTGCATGTTACTGGCTCCATAATACAAAGTAAGTTACCTAATGTATTATGCCCCAGTTTCCTGGCTGTAAGGTGGTAATATTAGAACGTATATCATAGGGTTGATGTGAGAATTTAATGAAATGATTCCTGCAATTGGCATAATGCTTTTATTAAAGCAATGTAATTAATTTAGATAGGAAATGTGGTAATGTGCATGTGAATACTAAAAGTACATTCTTTATTTTTAAATTTATATACAGTTTTCTCCCTTGATATTTAAAGTATTTTATTATTTATCTTTTGTCTAATGGTTCTTATCTCCTACTTACAGCCTACATTATTCTATTGTAACCAAGTTACCAACTCTAATATAAAATGTCCATATATTTAAATCTTTGTGATATACAACATAGAGTATATCCAAAACCATGTAGAAACCAGTGAGTCTAAACTTTTGAGAAAGGAGTATCCTACCTAATAATAGAGTAATATGCACATTAACATCACTCTGCTACACCCACCAGCCACGCCCACCAGCCACGCCCACCAACCAGTCAGAGTGACTATGCAAATTAACCCAACAAAGATGGTGGTTAATTTGCATATGTGGAGGGAGGAGTGAAGACTGAAGACAGTATAGAAGGAAGAGGGAGGGAAAGTGGAAAGCAAGGCAGCGGTGGCTGCTGGAGGGAAAGCACTGACGGCGCTGGGAGTGGTGGGCACAGTGGGCGCAGCAGGTAGGGTGGGCGGGTCAGGCTGTGCAGCGGAGGTGGTGGTGGGTACCGTGGCAGATGTGGTGAGTCGGGTGTGTCCGGCGAGGTGCGCAGTGGTGGTGGCAGCACTCCCGACCTCGGAGATGGTGGTGGCGGTGGCTATGGGCATGGTGGGGCATGAGGGAGGGGTGGGCCCTGAGGCTGCTGCCACCACCACCACCACCATCACCATCACCACCACCACCACCACCGTCTCTGCAGCAGGAGAGGTGGTGGGTGGGAGAGGTGGCGGCGGCCAGAGGGAAGCCCGCTGGAAGTCTTGCAGGAATATTCCTGCAACAGGTCCCTAATTGTTACATAAATTACCTCTTAATTCTTTTCTATATATATTTAAAAAGAAAAACAAAATCTTAAGCTTTACTTTTACTTTAAAAAGAAAAATCACTCATTGACCAAACATATATATCTTGATCTCTTTATTCACCATAAGGCCTTCTCCCTTAATTAAGATATCTCAGTATGTAGCATTTGTATCATAGTTTTTCTTCTCCTGAAACAATGCCCTGAATTTCATGGAAGAAGATTGAGGGGTATTATTTAGTTTGAAAGGTCTTGCTTCCCTTTAGGATTTACTTTTCTTCCAACTTTAGGTTTTGGATTTAAGTACTGTTAATCCAGAAGGAAGCAACTCCAGAAGTTACTGTAACTCTGTTTTTTCAAGTTACAACAGGTTTGGGGATTATTGCAAAGATTGATCCCCATCTTAATGTAACTTCATGAATACCTGGGATTAAGTTTTTCTTCCTTTACTGCTCCTAAATAGATAAGCCACAGGCTGCTGTCTAAGCCATTGCTGGTTGTATTATTGTGTGTGACATATGAAGATTGGGAAAACACGTGAGGAAGAATAAAATATTGGTACTGTGGAGTTCTAATCAATTAACGTAATATAAACTGCGCACTTCAAAAATCTATTCTAAAATTATTTTGTATTATAATTTTAAAAAATATATATTTTATTGATTTTTTACAGAGAGGAAGGGAGAGAGATGGAGAGCTAGAAACGTTGATGAGAGAGTAACATCGACCAGCTGCCTCTTGTATACCCCCTACCGGGGATGTGCCCGTAACCAAGGTACATGCCCCTGACCGGAATCGAATCCGGGACCTTTCAGTCCGCAGACTGACGCTCTACCACTGAGCCAAACCGGTTTTGGCTATTTTGTAATTTTTATGTTACAGATTCCTACTGGCTTATAAGTGTTGCTGTAAAATTTTAGAAATTCCTTTATACTGAAGTTTAAAAAAATACCGTTAAAATAACATGTTGGTAAAAGTATTGAGACAACTTTGCACCAGAACAGATAGAAACAGCGTCTGAGTCGCTCAGGGAATGTTGATTGGCAGCTAAGGGGCTTCGGAATTCTCTAGGAAGGTAAGGAAAGGTCCGCTGGACAAGAATTCCTGACCAAGAGGCCAGCACTGCCGCGGCTGCGGTGGCTCTCCCAGCGAGCTCTCGCGGAGAGAAGGCAGCGCCATCTTACCAGGAAAGGAGGAGCATCCCTGAGGCCTGGAGACAACTTTGCACCAAACTTCATAATTTTTTTAATCTAGTGGAACTGTGGAACAAGCATGGAGTCAGAAAGAATGGGGCTCATGTTCCACTTGTGTCAGTCTTGAAGAATAAATGTCAAGGATTATAAACTGTCAGAAGCACTTTGATTTGGTTCAAATGTGTTACAAACAGCTGCCAGCAGGGAGAAAAGCTATTTTTAAAGTACTCTGTGATTTTTATAGTTTGAATAAAGACTTAGTGTAGGTGGGAAAGTCCTATAAGTTCATTGCAAGTGATTAGTTTCCGAGGGCTGTTGTGACCAAGTACCTGGTACAAATTTGGTGCCTTAAAATAACAGAAATTTATTGTCTCGCAGTTCTGGAGATAGAAGCCCAACAGCAACTTGTCAGCAGAGCCAGTGGTCCCTCTAAATCCTTTATGGGATAATACTTCCTTGTTTCTTCCCAGATTATGGTGGATTGCTGGTAGTGGTTGGTGCTCCTTAGCTTAGAGCTGCAACATTTCAAACTGTGCCTCCATCATCACATGGGTTCTCTCATTTGTGGCCTTGGGGTTATTGTGTCAGGCTCTCCTGTGAACCAGTATCCATCTTCAGTTTTGTAATTAATTAGATTCTTTTCTTACTCACATCTGGTCATGCTGTGTCTCCTTTACCACTAATATATGCAGCTTTGTTTTTGGTTTTAACTTCTTGAGTAGTTTTTGCACAGATGAGTACATTTTACTGCATTAGCTAGATTGTAAAATTATCTGTGGAAGACATACATTTGTTTTCTAATTTTATACCCTTGAAAAAAACCTGCTTTTGTGGGTATCTAGTAGGCATTCAACAAATGCTTAATGATGAGTGAAATATGTGAGTTTAAAAATGTACAGATTTTTATGCAAACATAACTGTTGAAATCTTACTAAGAGGAACTGTAACATGTTAGCCATATATTCTTAGAACTACTGATATGAAATACCATTTCTTCAGTAACTCTTCCTTAAAAAAAACACACACCTGTTTGAATTATAGTAGGTTTTAATAGTAATTTTACATGTATTTTTAAAGTTGATTTCACTGTGGATAAGTGAGTGTTTATGTGCAAAGAAAATGTAAGTACCTTCAATTTTGGGGGCTATTTTTTCATTCTCTGATGGGCAGTAAGAGTTTTTGAGATACCAGGTTCATTATTCTCATTGGTGCCTTAGGACTGAAAAATGTTAAGGGGCCCCTCCTTTCTCTTCCTCGTCCTTCTAGTTCCAGTATTTTGTATTTATTATTACCATTTATAATTTATTAGGATTAATGCTTGATAGGGCTAAATACTTTATAGTCAGACAGCTACAAATATCTATAGAATTTAATATTAGGTCTAGTAATAATTAATGTCGTTTTCTAATACTTTTTCAAATTGAATTTATTTAAACAATACAACAAAATTTTATCAACAATATAGTTGTCGTTGTTTTCTACTACTTGTGCCCAACGCTCAGGAAGCATTTTAATCCCTCTGTTGTAAAATTCTTGTGATTTTGATGCAAAAAATTCGGTCAATGCATTTTTGAGGCATTCTTCATTATTAATTATTTTTCCAAGAAGAAAGTTTTGCAAAGAACGAAACTAATGGTAATCGGAAGGGGCAATATCAGGAGAATATGCAGGGTGAGGGAGAACTTCCCATTCCAACTGGCACAGTTTTTCAGCAGTGATTCTTGCAGTATGCGGTCGTGCGTTATTGTGGTGAAGAATTATGCTCTTCCGATTAATCAGCGCGGGTTCTTTTTCTCTTAAAGCTTGGGCTAACCTTTCCAATTGGGCACTATACACTGCATTTGTAATGGTTTGGTTAGATGGTAAAAGTTCATAATGAAGAATTCCTTTAAAATTCCACCAAACACACAACATCACTTTTTTCGCATGCAAGTCAGGTTTTGGCATGGGCTGTGGAGCCTCATTTTTGTCCAACCATTGAGGGCGCCTTTTCAAATTAACATACAGCACCCATTGTTCATCTCCGGTAACAATTTGCTCTAAAAACGGCAAACGGTTTTGACGAGAGAGGAGCGAACTGCAAATTGTGACTCTTTGATTACAGTTGTTGTCGGTCAACTCATGAGGAACCCATTTTCCAAACTTTTGGACTTTGCCAAGTGCATGCAATTGATTGGAAATTGTTTTTTGTGAACAATTTAAAGTTGTCGCAAGCTCTTGTTGGGTAATTTGAGGATTTTGCACCAAAAGAGCTTGAAGAGCTTCTTGATCAAAATTGGACACACGGCCTCGACCACTCTTGTCATCGAACGAAAGATTTCCCTCGCAAAATTTCTCAAACCAACGCTGGCATTTTCTGGCGCTAACTGCATCTTGACCAAGAGCACTACAGATGTTTTTTGCAGCCTCACTTGCTTTTCTTCCTAATTGGAATTTGTAAAGCATGCAGTGCCGAATATGCTCTTCATCCGCCATCTTCTTAGCCCTAGTTTTGCAACAAAAACCAAACCAAACACAAACTTTTTCAAGCAAAAACTTGTTAATTGCACTTCACACGTTCTGTAGATACCATGTGTTTGAAGGTTGTCAATACAAGTCAACGCCAAGCAAGATTTTAAACGAATGTTAAAAACGACATTAATTATTACTAGACCCGATAGTTATGAACTTTATTTGTGTGTAACTTGTTTTTAATTTCTTTGTCAATCTTAATAATGCTTTCGTGTGAACTCTGCTAGGGTCAGATACAGGTACAATAACTGGTTTAATTCATCTAACCTCTGATGTAAAGACTTAGATATTGTTAATGTTCTCCTTTTTTTATTTCTTAAAAAAATTTTTTTTGGTGCTTTTCTGTTGATATTTCAATCTTCCTGTATTCATTTTTAACCTTAAGGGAGAAATACATACAGAGAAACACTGTATGTAATTGACTGTAACAGGAATGGCTTTTGGAATAGATAATAATTATTTATCTGAAAAAATTGTGTGAATTTACTGTTGTAGATTAATTTTACTAGTTTTGTTGTTGTTTGTGTTTTCTCATGTCGACAGGGTTGCTTTAGACACTCTTGCTGCATTGCTAAAATCAAGTAAGTTTTTAATATTAGAACTACTAGATACTATTTTTCTGAGTATTTTATCTACAGTGTTAAACTGGAAATGTAGAGTTAGTCTATAGTTATGAAGCTGGTTTATAATAACTTAATGTCAAAGCTGATTTTACCTTTTGGTACTGTTGTTGGATGAGCCATAACTAATGTCATTTATGTTTATTAAGCTATAATTTATTAAGATACATTGACTTCCTTTTTCTAAGTGATAACTATAAATATAAAGCTCTGTTAGTATAAGAAAGTAATATGTAAATATTATGTATGTATCATTTAAAAAATTAAAGTTAAAATGGTATTGAGTATGTTTACTGTAAAGACTGTCTTGAATAATTACTCTATAGCACACATAATTTTAATTTAGAGCCCTTTTATTTCTATCATGAATCCAGATGGCTACTGATGTAAATTTACAGTTTACTAAATTAATTGACAAACTATGGCTCTATCTTCAAAGCTGAGGCATTGGAGTAAATGTGTCTTGTAATATGCCTGTGAAGAGTGATTATGATATATTTCTTCTCACCAAGATACTCAGTATCTCCATTTTAAATAATAATTTTCATTAGCACCCATATTTCTATTGGTTGATTAACATTTACTTAACCATAAAACATTTTAGTCCCAAAGAGCTGTAATGATGGCTTTTAATGTTATTCCCTCGCCCAAAAAACTATCAAGGGGGTAAACCAATTTTTTCTTAAATTTGAATGATCAGAACTTTTATTTGAATAGTAGCAAATAATTAATTGATAAATCTGATATTTGGCAAAGTAATTATTTATTAAATTTAAAAAAATCACCTTACGTGATAGTATTATATACTAGAGGCATATTTTTAAATGTACTATAGCGTTTTGGAGCATTCTCAGTCATTGACTTCTTTTTTGGGGGGGGACAGTAATTTACTTTAAAAGGATAATTAAATTATTGTAATAAACCTGAGAGAATATAAAGCAAAGAATGTATATATAGCACAGAAAGTCAGGCAGCTTAGTTATCATCGCTGTGGTATAGATTAGATGCTGCAGTGTACAGGGGAGCCTAAGTGTATTTTTAACCCCAGAGAGAAGAGGAGACATAGGCTGATCATGTTTGGTGTCCTGAACACATGAATTAAACCCCCTTTACTAAACTGTTTTAATTGTGCTCAGTTGCAGGTTACTCTGCACCCTTTTCTTTAGGCCCTAAAGAAAAGGGTACAGAGTAACCAGTAACAGGTACTGAGTGACCCTAAAGTTTAGGGTCACTCAGTACCTGTGTTTGAGTTATGGGCAAGTTTGTTTTATTTGAATGTTAGTAAAGAGTTTCAGTATTCATCATAAATACCATTTAAGCTATTGAGAATTGCAATGGAGACATAGTTTGGAACAGGAGTTACAATGACGATAATGTCTTTTTAAGAACGTTAAAGTCTTATTATTATATATGCCAACTAGTATAACCACAGTAAGCAAATGAATTCAAAATATATGAAACTACTTGTTGCTAGTCAAAACTATTACCTGATATTGCACATAGCCACAATTTTAGCAAAACTAGCTCTTCTATTCACAATAGAGGTTTAAGGCTTTATATAAGAATCCCCATCTCTTCCCACCCTGGGAGTTTTTTCCAGTTCCCTCACGTAGTAGCATAATTTCTGAGAGGCATCAGTAAGGTTCCTTTCACTGTCTTAAATCTTATGTTTCAGCTATATATCAGCACTAGTAATTCTCTGAGGCAACTAAAAGCAATGAAGCTTCACTGTTTGCATTATCTTTGTGCCCATGTCACGAGGCAGGGGGTCATTTTATAGGTAAATTTATATTAGGAAGGGATTAGTATTTTTTAAAAATATATTTTTAATGATTTCAGAGAGGAAGGGAGAGGGAGAGAGAGAGATAGAAATATCAGTGATAAGAGAAAATCATTGAAAAGTTGCCTCTTACACATCTCTGACTGGGGATCGAGCCTGCATGGCTCGTGTCCTAACTGGAATTGAACCTTCCAGGTTCATAGGTCAAAGTTTAACCAAGACATAGTTTGGAACAGGAGTTACAAGACTGGCCAGGCGGGATTGGTATTTCTTTGTACAACCTAAGATGGGTTGGTATTCCACTTTATTTTGTGCTCTTATAATAGGCCCACCCAGTGATGCTGGGTGGTTCAAGATGTTGCTGTGATAGGTTTCCTTTGCTGCCATCTTAGTAAAATCACCCATTTGGTTAATTATCTTAAATATTAACACTTTAAAAATAATAGAATAGGTCAGATTTATGGATTTTTAAGAATTAATCTATCCCAATAAATTTGACCATTTATAAAAAAAGCCCTTTAATGTTTTTTAATTACAATAAAAATTAATGATTAGAAAGTCCTATCTTCTAGTTACATAATGCTTCTAATACTTTATTTACTAAAAAGTTTTACAAGTATTTTTAACTTAGCATTAGTATTTATATAATTGGTAATTAAAGCAACTAATTTCAATGGGAACACAAAGTTTGTAATAACAGCTACAGTCCAATGTAGTTAGTTTTAGTGGAAGTACACAAAGTTTGTAATAGAAGTTACAACCATGGTAATGGCTTTTAACAAAACCACATTCACAGCTAGTAAGTTAAAGGCTTGAATAGTCCATTTATTGTAATCAAAGTCAGTATAATCCTAAATTTTAAAATACATGAAACTTTTATTAGTATTAACATTTAAAAAGCTGCAGTCCTAATTGTATTAAATACCTATTATTTATAATCACAAAATAATATATGGGCTGGTTTCTGGAAAATAGCATAATTTACTCTCTGGAAGTTATATTTATTTTGTTAAGATAAAAACGTTTACATATGTGGTTGCCATTTTTTTTAATGAAAATAATTTTAACAATTCCTTATAATAGTGGGGTTATATTTTTTAATTTGGTTTCTACTATTTTCCCTGGTCATTTAAAAAATATTCTTTTCAATTTTCTTTTGTTAAAGAAACAAATGCCAGGAGAGCTGTAGACAGAGGATGTGTCCAAGTCCTTTTAACAATTTATGTAGATTGGCATCGCCATGACAATCGGCATAGAAACATGCTCATTCGGAAAGGAATTTTACAGAGTTTAAAAAGTATTACAAATATCAAGTTGGGAAGAAAAGCATTTATTGATGCCAATGGGATGAAAATTCTCTATACCACTTCACAAGTAAGTTTTTTCCTATTATTGTGATTATGTGTTAATAATATGATTTGGTTCTTTTTTTTTTAATTTATTGATTTTTTACAGAGAGGAAGGGAGAGAGAGAGAAAGAGAGAGCTAGAAATGTTGATGAGAGAGAAACATCGACCAGCTGCCTCTTGCACACCCCCCACAGGGGATGTGCCCGCAACCAAAGTACATGCCCTTGACCGGAATCAAACCCGGGACCTTTCAGTCCGCAGGCCGACGCTCTACCACTGAGCCAAGCCGGTTTCGGCATGATTTGGTTCTTAAGAAAACTTAGTATTTCTAAAAATCTCCTAAAAGTAAGATACATATATTTTAAAAAAATTAGAAAACAAAGGCATAATAATTTCTCACATGTGACCACAGACTAGGTTGGAGAAAGTGCTTAGTGCATATATCTGCAGTGTGAGATTTTATCCCCTCAGGTAAAAGCAAGATACATAAATCCATCCATATAGCCATATTTTCTAAGGGATTCCAGTTAGCCATGCTTTCTAAGATGTGCAGTTGGCTATACTCCATTTTGCATGTTTCCTTTATAAGGTATTTATGGATTCTTTACAACTGGTAATGTAGTTCTGTTGTTTGTGAGTGTTCTCAGTGTCTTCCTCTGGATAGTGCATTTTTAAATGGAGAAGGTACAAAAGTGAAACCTGTAATTAGTGTCCCTAGTTCTGCCAGCTATTATACTCAACTTTCTTGACAATATCTTTAATACGATTTGTTCTAGCATCTGTAGAAGACTATCAGCTATGGGAAATAGGGATGTTTCAGCACAGTCCTTTGTTTTTAGAAGTCTGTGATTATTAGAAAGAAAACTGTTTTTTTTGAAAATTCCTGTGCTCTTTGGCCTTATATACAACTGACAATCTCTTTCTACCTGAGAGTGGTTAAGATATAAGAACATACATTTTATGTTTACTCTTAGCTTTTTTTTTTCTTTGTCAATCATATACACTTGTTTTTATTGTATTACTTATAATATAGGCAATGATGGATATTGATATACTAGCATGAGGAAGAGTTGGATGACTTTGGTTATGCCACTTAACATTACTGAGCCTTAATTTCTCATCTGTTTTGACAGGTCTGATGTGAAGATTTGTATTGAAAATTTTACAGGGTATCAAAGTGCCATCTAAATGTCAATAATGATGATGATGCTATATAATATATTGTAGTTTCAAATCTTCTATATTTAGCTCTTCTTAAGATTAGATACTAGGACAGCAGATTAAACTCTTAAAACTGTGATATTCAGACTATAAAAAAATAGTTGAACAGTAACGTATTTGAGGTGCTATTGCATGATAACTGATAAAATTCTGAGAATGGTTCAGCAAGTTCATGTTCCTTTTTATTTCTTACTATATTTTTTGCTTAATTAAAAAAATTGTGTGCTAAGCTAGCTAAATGTGCCTAAGTCCATCGAAGATATTACTTAGTATTTTGGTGACTTTTAATACCAAAGTTGGCATTGATTTCCACATAGTTAAAATTTTAAGGTAAAGTACTACTAAATTTGCCACATGAGGTTCTTATTTATGAGTCAAAGCTATTTTATAATTACATTATGTTAAAATATTATTTTCTTGTGATATTTGCTCTTGAAAATTATTAATGTCTTTCTGAAGTAATATGAAATTGATTCAGTTAGTCATCAAAGGCACATTCTTTTTCTTTTTTTTCTTAAAAAACAGGAATGTTTGGCAGTCAGGACCCTTGATCCTCTTGTCAACATCTCCAGTCTGATAATGAGGAAGTGTTTTCCTAAAAACCGCCTGCCACTGCCAACAATTAAAAGTTCTTTCAATTTCCAATTGCCAGTTATTCCTATGAGTGGACCTGTGGCTCAGCTCTATAGTTTACCTCCTGAAGGTAGGACCACATGCTCACGGCTGGCCTTCAGTGGTTCTGGGGATTGTGTGACTCTGTTGACTTTTTTAAATTTTATTTTAACTTGTGTCCAACTCCTCAGCGAAAGAAGGTCTTAATGAACACAGTAAATTTTCACTTTGTATTTTAGTTAATAAGTATTTCTTTAAATATAAGAAATTGTGGTTTAGTAATGAAAGGAAGTGGGATTTTTTACAAGAATGTAAATGTGTGCTGTGAAAAAACGTAAGCATCATATGGGACCATCAGTTGGTAGTGCATATAAAATTCAAAAGTATAAGAATGTAAACATTAAATGTCTAAGTAATTATATTGGACTTACATTTGTAGCTTTTTCATGAACTTCATTTTATAAAATTAAAAATACCTAATTGGCAAACTCTCTCTCTCCCCCCCAAAAAGCCTAGCCATCAAAAATGTTTTATAAACATGAAATTATCAAAAGTTGACTATTTTCCATTTTCCATACAATATTGTGGGTACATGTAAAGAAAGTAAGAGTTTAAAATTTTTAATCTGGGGGAAAAGTAGAATTTTTTTGCTACAATCTAGAAAAAATGGAAAAGAAAAAGTTGTCCAGACTACTAATAGAATTTCTGAGGTATTTTCTTGTCACTTGATCATTTCTTTTAGGTAAAAAAAAATTATTTTAAGGGCACTTTTTAATATTCAAAAGCATTATTTGAAATCAGTGGTTTAAGAGAATTAAGTAATTATAATTAGTTTTAATCTTGACACAGATTTATTAGTGGTATTTATCACAGAGCACACTTTTATGATTTTATTTTAGAATATTTAATTATTGAAGTACAAGTTTACTCCACAAAAAGTACAAAGTTTAATGGCACAAAATATTAAAATTGATTATTCAGAAACTTCCTTTAAAAGTTTACAAGTCTAAAATCAAGTCTGGGAACTGGAGTAAGGTAGCTAAATAAAAGCATTTTTTAAGATTTTTCTTCCCATTCCATTTAAAATTACCAATAGACTTTTAAAAATATGGGAAAATATGTGCTTACTCTAAAAGCTAATTCTCATGGAATAAACATAGAACATGCAAAAAATCATGGCAGAAATATAAATAGATTAAGAAGAGTGTCATCCTTTCACTCACCCTAGTATGAAATGCAGTGTCTGACTCCAGAATTGAGGTTCAGTTAGCGCCTGATTTGGAGGGACAATAAAAAAGTAGTTGGGCTCTCGCTGATTTGGCTGAGTGGATAGAGCGTTGGCCTAACTGACTGAAAGGTCCAGGTCCTTTTCTGGTCAAGGGCACATGCCTGGGTTGAGGGACTAGATCCCCCCAGTGGGGGGCGTGCAGGAGGCAGCCGATCAGTGATTCTCATCATTGATATTTCTATTTCTCCCTCTCCCTTCCTCTCTGAAATCAATAAAAAAATATTTTTAAAAAAGCAATTGGAATCCCTTTCTCTTGTGCATCTCAATGTAGGATTATGGGGTTTAAGTGCTGATTCTAACAGGCAGATGGATAGCTAGTGAGACTTGTCTGTGATATGACAGGTAGTAACACTGAGTGGGAGATAGGATATACCTCTTACTGTCCTTAGCACTGTGTCTAGAATAATCACATGTACAGGGAAAGCTGACTTCTAGTGCAAAAAATGACAGACAGATGACATTTTTTGAGGGCCTTTTTCTGATTCATCTCAGGCTGATGGATCAGGGACTTAGAAATGGAGATTTACATTAACTACCAAGCCTTCATGATTAAAATGTAAGGGAAAGGTCCTATTAGCAACTGCATAGGTAGAAGGAAAAATACCATCTTTCTGTTTTCTGTGATTTTCTCACATATCAGGCTTCGTAACATTTATCCAACTTTTCATTGTTTTTTTTTTTTACCTTAGCTAGGTTTGTGAAGATTGACTGTTACATTTTTTCCTTCCTTTTATCCTCAGCATCCATTAGATTGCTGAGACATAAGTGTGCATTTAACATTGGTTGATGAATGGAATTAGCCTCAATACTTATTTTCTTGGCCGAAACCGGTTTGGCTCAGTGGCAGAGCGTCGGTCTGCGGACTGAAAGGTCCCATGTTCGATTCCGGTCAGGGGCATGTACATTGGTTGCGGGCACATCCCTGGTAGAGGGTGTGCAAGAGGCAGCTGGTCGATGTTTCTCTCTCATTGATGTTTCTAGCTCTCTATCTCTCTCCCTTCCTCTCTGTAAAAAAATCAATAAAAATATATTTAAAAAAATACTTATTTTCTTGGATATTAAATGCCTAAAGATAGGCAGCTTCTACTTGTTTACTCTTTTCTTCTTTTTAACCTCATGAGCTCCATATCTTTAAAAACATTTCCTAAACACAGCACAGTACATAGTAGTCACTGAAATAAATATATGGGAAGTGAATTGTAAAAGGGATGAAATGAGTTATTGAAATTCATTAAAAACAGGAAACAAGATGCTTTATTCAGGCTGTTGCAATTTAAAATAATTTTTTTTTTATTTTGGTAAAGAATCAGATGCAGGTGGTACTTTTTAAAGACATTAATTTTTAAAAACAAACAGTAAAAAAGCTCATTAATTTTTATAGTGCTTTTTCAAATATTAAAGTACTTTCACCTTATCTCATAGGTTTTTAACACCTGGGATAGCCTTAGAAATATTTTTAATAAGAAATTTAATTTAATTTTTCTTTGGTAATTGAAATACTTGATACAGTATATATATGCATAAACATAATTTTTTACCTTTGGATGTACATGTTGTAGAATGCTTACCTCTGACCTACTTACTTATAGCACATTTTGTATCACAGTGGATGACGTAGTAGATGAAAGTGATGACAATGATGATATTGACTTAGAGGCTGAAAATGAAACTGAAAATGAAGATGACATAGATCAAAATTTTAAGGTTAGTGTAAATGTCTGTCTTCAGTCTACTTAATAATTGTACACATAGTTGTAAAACAAGATTGGATAAATGGTCATAGTTAATGGTAGATTATTCTGTTCTGTCCACATCTTTTTATCATGGCTGACTATGAAAGAGAAAATAAAGTTGCTTTGAATGCATTGGTCTGAAAAGGGTTAATGAATTCTTTCTTCACTATGCCTGTTTTACAGGTAAATTCTTTTTAATATAAAAAGTTTTTATTCTTTATGTTAATAGAAAATATTAATATATTAAAATTATATTTATTTATATGTGTATCAGTGAAGATGTAGGAAATGAAAAAACATTAAAAGTACCATTTGCAATAGCATCAAATCATTAATTACGTGGGTAAATATCTTACACAATGTATACAAAAGTTTATATCTTGACAATCACAAAATACTGGTTGAAGAAATCATAGATGATTTGAAGAAATGGGTAGATATAACATGTTTATGGATTGGAAGATTTAATACTATTTACAGGTAAATTTATTTTTTAGTACAGAGCCACTGTTGTAAGATTACATTTTCACAAAATAATATTCAATATTGATCTAGTAAATAGAGAAAGCAATGCCTCTGTGAATTTTTTTTATTTTGAAAGCATTGTCTACTTTATTAGATACTAATCAAGAAAATTATATATTTTCGATTTATCAATGCATAATTTAAGATATATGAAATTACATATTCAAGTAATATTGATACAATAATTAACATGATACTCTTTAAAACCAGTATTTATGACAATGGAAAAAATCTTTTTATTGGTTATACAGGTTATAGCTAAATTTCTGAATAAGAAATATGAGAAATACATAGTATGTTTTTTCTTTTAAATTGCTTATTGATAGGAAATGTATATAATCTAATATGTGTATATAAAGCATTTTAAAGATAGAAGCATAGTAGACTAAGGCAGAAAAATAAGCAGTGAACTCTGCAGTAGTAAATTAAATGCACAATTAAAGACAAATACCAATTGAAAATTGATATTCAGTTACCTCTCTTTAGCCACCAATGAAGATAATAATGAGCTTGCATTTGCGTGAGATCAGAGTTATTGAGGGCCCTAGAGACTAGCCTAGAGAGTAGGTAAACTGGCACTTGTCTTCCCATGATGCTGTACATTAATTAGCTCTTTGAACAGATACAGACCAAGCACATTGCTCTTGGATACATGCCCTGTTTCTCTGAGGTCATACTTCTCCTTTAACCATATCCTCTTCTTTCCCAAAGGGTCACGGAAATCACTTCTCGCTGTTTTCCACTCCTTTTCTTTTCCCTGAAAAAAACAGAGTGAATGGTGACACTGAGCTTTTCTGAGGGCACTTTGCTGACCATGGAACATAGAGTGCATGATAATCATGAGTCTCCTGAGGCAGTGCATTGTGCCCACTTGGAGTCACTGAGTACTCTATGGGCAAGCTGTGTCATTTTGAGCAAGCCGTAACCTCTCTGTACCCATTTCCTTCTCAGTAAATGGAAGTAATAATACTATTCCTTCAGAGTGCTCTTATGAATATTACATTAGATGATATATGTAAAATCCTTGACTAGTGTTTCACATATTTTCAATGCTCAATAAACGTTAGTTTGATTACTACTAACAATCATATTTTTAATGTTTTTCAATTTAGTTCTTCTACTCTTTAATATGAACAAAATGATGGCAGTTAGGGAGATTAGGGGAACATACTTGAGTCTTGATCTTGACACTAGTTTTCTGTCTTCAAATACCATATTATATTAGAATAACCTTAGGTAAAAACAAAACAACCAAAACAGTAACACAGCAACAACCCAGAAATACAAACAAATTTTAATTTACGGTAAAATTAACACACCCTTTGTTCAGCAATTATTCTCTAATTATATGTAATTAATAATTTGGAAAACTTTAAATCTGTAATGTATTCTGTAATTTTAGGTTTTTCTTAACTGATGGCATGCCATTTTTATTATTTCAGAATGATGATATTGAAACAGATATTAACAAACTAAAACCCCAGCAAGAGCCAGGACGAACGATAGAAGACCTTAAAATGTATGAACACCTTTTCCCTGAGCTTGTTGATGATTTTCAGGTATAAATATGGAAAACTCAGCATCTCAACTGATTTTTATAAAATAGTTTTTCCCCCATCCCTTAGGTATACTAGTATAATCACTATCTTAATTTCTAAGAAATGAAAGTAGCATTGCATTTCTGAGTGACATTTGTCAGTTACTTTAACATTCTGGGTATAAATTGCTTATGTATAAAATGAGGGAACTAGCTTATTTAACTGTTGGACTAGATTTTTAATTTTTTCATTGTTTTGGTTAATCATTTTAATTGACATAGTTTTTTTTTTTACTCTTTAAAAATGTTCTTTAAAGTGATATTTCAAAAATCTTATTTTAAAGTCTTCTTTGTATCAGTTTTGATAAACTAAAGAGAGATGTTAGTTAAGAAGCTGCTGAATTTAAAATATGTGTAGTCTATGCATGCTGAATTTCTTTTCCTGAAGGTCATTGTATAATTGTGGAATGTTCAAGAGAGAGGAAAGCAACCCGAAGTTTTTAAAATCAAAGTTGGTTCATAGGGAGAATGACTTGTTAATGTTTCTTAAACTCAGTTATTTACTGGAATATAGTTACACAGCCTGGATTACACAGCAAGTAAAGCTGACTGAATGATGGCAATTGGTAGATCTAGTTTCTTATTCTCACTGTGCTGCTCACTTGTGGTGGGTCCTTGAATAAGTCTGAAATTGCCTAGGATCTTAAACTGTGAAATAAAGGGTTTGAATCAGATAATCTCAGACTTATTTAACTCTTGCTCCAAACCTCTATGCCCCTACATTCCATACACTTAATTTCCAGTTGCTTAAAAAAAAGATTTTAATGTGCAGTCATAGGTAGAAATCAAATAAAAGGGAAGTACTTGCTAGTTAATGTTTACATTTCTCAGTTCTGATTATTCAGGTTTTTCTCTGAGAACTTATGTGCTTTGGCTTCAGTAGAAGGAGCAGCAAATTGTTCTCCTTCCCCCTTCCCTAGTGTTTGGTTCCCTTCATAGATTTGAGGTATGGATAGTTACTCTGAAATCAGGGGTACTAAAAAAAGGGCAGGAATGAAAGAGAGGTTATTTGTTAAAAAGAGACAAGAGACTTTTGGGAAAGGATACAGGTTGATTTTCATACAATAAACCTACAGGAAGTATTCTGGCAACTCTGTTAATACTTTTATGACCAGGTAAGAGCCATTTAAAAATAAAGCCACAGAAGTAAGAAATACTGCTAACTCAAAGTAGAAAAATATGTGAAAGGGATTTGGGGGAAGGAATTGATTATTGTGTGAAGAAATAATTTATTTTCTTCTTTGTGTGCACATAAGAACTATATAATGTGATTAAAAATTATAGGCATAGAGGTGAGTAATTTGTTAATGGATGTGAAGGCCAGGATTTTGAGTCTCAATCTTTCACAAGCCAATTATTTTTTGTTGTAGGCTACAGTGCTGAGGTCTTCTTGTATGTCTGTTTTTTCGTTCACCACATAGATAGGCTACTGTTGATAGTTTCTTGCTTAGAACCTATGAACAGGTGGCCAACTTGCCTTTCGGTTTGACAGCTCCAAGAGCAGATCCCTACTTTTGGTCTGACTTGGTGTGTCCAGGGTCAGTTGGTAAAGACAGGTTTGTCTAAGTGAGAGACCTCTGAAAAATCTTTTTCCCAAGCGAGGATTCCATTTTATTGTGTTGAATCAAAAGAAACTACTTCAAATACTTCTGATCATACATAATTATTAACATATCCTCTATTTTGCCAGAAAGTTTTATGTAGAGGAGCTAGTTATATTTCTATAGCATACTAGTGACCCAGTGCATGAAATTCATGCACATTAAAAGGGGATTAATTAGAAGAAATAATTTAATATGCTATTTGCCTTTTCTCTATAATAGAAGAGTCAGAGATGAAAGAAAATTAGTAAAATGTATATGAAAACCTTCCTCCTGTAAGAGTATGGGACTCACTACGGGACCTAGAGTCAAGTCCCCACCCACCCATAAGACGTGGCTGGCGCACCCCTGCCCTCACACTTTGGGCTAGTTACAGTCCTGGCCAGTCCCATCCCTGTCAAGCCGTGCTGGGCAGAGGCCATAGCCTCAGGTCCCCTGGCCTGGTGCCAGGACAGGGGGCATGGCCTGATGTCCCCCAGCCCAGACTGGGGCCGGGAATGTACCTTGAGGTCCTCCGTCAAGCCCCGCCAGATAGGATACATGGCCTGAGTTCCCCTGTCAAACCCCATCAAGCGGGGGGGGGGGGGGGGGGGGCAGCCTCAGGTCCCCCTGGCCCACTGCTAGGGTGGGGTGTGTGACCTGAGGTTCCTCAGCCCAGATCAGGGCGGGGGTGTGGGCCTTGAGGTCCCCTGTCAAGCCCTGCTGGGGTGGGGAGGCACAGCCTGAGGTCCCTTATCAAGCGTAACCAGGCAGGGGGCATAGCCTCAGGTCCCCAGGCCTGGTGCTGGTGCAGGGGGTACGGTCTGAGGTCCCCCAGCCTGGTGCTGGGGTGGAGGGCGTGACCTGAAGTCCCCTGTCAAGCCCCACCTGGTGGGGGGCATGGCCTAGGTTCTCCTGACCCAGCACTGGGGGTATACCTTGAGGTCCCCTGTCAAGCTCCATGGGGGCGGGGGAGGGCATAGCCTCAGGTCCCTGCTGATTGCTCATTAAGGCTCCTTATGGGAACTTGGCCTCAGCTGTGGGTGCAGCCATCTTTGTGATGGAGTGATAGTCAACTAAGCATATTCCTTCTTTATTACGTAGATAAGGGTTCTACAGGAAATAGTGCAGTATCTTTTATTTACATAATTGGAAAATCATTTCAAATGACACTTGACTATCTCAATTTTAGGTAGAAGAATGTGCTGTTCAAATATTTTAGTCTCTGTTTTTTGAAGTATGCGTTGGAGCTACATATCGGCAGTGGTATTTAAATGATATATTTTTGAGAATTAAAAATATTGGTTGGAGCCCTGGCCGGTGTGGCTCAGTTGGTTAGGCATCATCCTGTGCACCAAAAGATCACCTGTTTGGTTCCTGGTCAGGACACATTCCCCAGGTTGCCAATTCAATACAGCCAATCAATGTTTCTCTCTCCCTCTTGCCCTCCATTTTCTTTCCTTTCTCTCTAAAATTAAAAAAAAAAAAAAAAAAAAATATATATATATATATATATATATATATATATATATATATATATATATATTAGAAAGAACTATATTGGTTGATTCTAGATAGGAAATTGTTGAAAGAATTTTTTTCTGCCATCATCATATCCAATACTGGCAGATCATGGGATAGGAAACATAAATAGAATTAATATGATGTTTTCCACTTTGATTTGTATGTCATTTTCAACATCAACCAGTGAAGTTGAAAATTATTTGATGTTATTATTTTAGTCCTAAACACCACCCACTTTGTGTCCAGATATGTTAAGCCTCTTATTCATTGCTAGTGGGAGGCAAAATGAATGCATTTGAAGGCAACATATGGAATTATTAAAGTAATTAATAAAGTAATTAAAGTAATTAAAAAAAAACAGACTTTTGAGGGGAACTTACTATGCTGTAAAGGCCATGATTGTTTATTAATAATGACAATTATAGTTTTATTTGCTTTTGTTTCTTGATGGCAGAATATGGGAGGTGTCAAAATTCTGCATTTTCACAGCTCTTTTTTCATACATCTGTGGTAGCATGATGATATTTACCATATGGACTTTTGTTCTGTTTTATTTTTATTTCTTTTTAATTTGGTTTTAGATTTTTATTTAAAATTTTTTTTGTTAATCCTCACCTGAAGATATTTTTTTCATTGACTTTTAGAGAGATTGGAAGGGAAGGGAAGAGACACAGAGAGAGAAACATAGATTGCTTGCCTCCTGCATGTGCCCCAAGTAAAGACAGAGCCTGTAGGGGAGGTCCGTGCCCTTGATGGGAATTGAACCCAAGATCCTTCAGTCCACTGGCTGATGCTCTATCCACTGAATCAAACTGGTTGGGGTGGTTTTAAATTAAAGTAACACATGGGCAGAGTTTTAAGAGCCAAATAGTTTTGTGTAGTTTAATGAGGAAAATTATTGTCTCCTTCCCACCTGACATTTCCTACAGTCACTTATAGCATGTTTTTTGAAGTTAGTCCCCATATTTCTAAGTAATATAATATACTTATACTGCCATGTCTTGATTTTTTTCAATTTTTGTTCTTTTTAAAATTTTATTTTTGTGTAGATTATCATGTTAAGATAGGTACCTAGTTCTTTTCAGCCCTTCTTTTCTAATATTTACATTTTTAGGTGATAAATTTTATTCTAATTACTGCTTTAGCTATATCACATAAGTATTGATTTTCAGCATTTTTATAATTTTTGTTTAACTTTATTTTCATTATTATTATTTTTCTTTGATTCATTGGTAATGTTAAAGCTGGCTTTTTAATTTTCATTTTTTTATTGTTTTCTAGCAAATTGTTGTAGGATAAGAGGACATAATTCTTTATTCTTATAATCCTTTCACATTTTTGAGGCTTATTTTATGGTTTTTAAATATGGTCAACTTTTGTTATGATTTCTTGTGTCCTTGAAAGAGTTCTGTGGTTATATGCCTATTAGGAAAAGACTGTTAACGTGTTGAGAACTTATTTTGTTTCATGGAGTTTTATTTCTATGCTATCAATTACTGTGCAAAGTATTTTAGAAATTTCTGTGATTGTGAGGTTTTTTTTTTTTTTTAATGTTTTGAGGCTTATTATCAATATTTAGTATATATAAATGTAAATTGATTTCCTTTTGAACTTTTTATCATTATGAAGATACTGTCTTCATTTCTAAGACTTACTAGTAGAAGGTTTTAAAAACATTAATGTAGTTAAATTAATTTTTGTTATTTCCCTGGTACCTGTTTATTTTTTGTTAATTTTTATTGTTGATACTATTGCAGATGTCCCTATTCCCTCCCACTTTGCTCCCCTCCACCCAATGCCGCCACCTGATCCCCCTCTTTTTTGCTTTTAACACTTTATTTATCTAATATTCCATGAAATATATTTATACCATGTTTATTACTTATATTGACAGTCCTCTCTCCTTTGTTCTTAGAAGAAAGTAAGCTGCAAAAAAGAAGAGTTGTTTTCTGTTTTTCAAAAGATGGGTCTTAAGTTCCTGAAACATTGCTTGGCACAAAACAGACACTTGTAAATATTTGTTGGATTAGAGAATAACAATTTGTGTTTTCTTTAAGAGGATTTTAATGTGTTTTTACTTTTCTAAATTTCTCGCTTTTGTTATATATAGGCATTGTTTTTGTAATAGAAAAAGTAAAATAAGTGTAATGAATTTTGTTGTAGTTAAATACAGGAGGGGCAAAAATAGATTTACAGTTGTGATTATGTGAAACTCAGAGTTTATTGTATTATTATTAATTATTGTATTATTTTCCATACAAACAACTGTAAACCTACTTTTGCCCTTCCCCTGTATTGTGTCTTTTGTTAGCAAGATTAAAATATATCCATCTTTAGAATTTTAGGTTTCTGAAGCAGCATATAAAATGAATATGACCTTAGTTTTGTTAATACATTTTAATATTTGAGATAAAAGATTAAACATATTTTTTATTTTCAAAGGACTATGACTTAATCTCCAAAGAACCAAAGCCTTTAGTATTTGAGGGAAAAGGACGTGGTCCAATTGTTGTGCCTACAGCAGGAGAGGAAGCAGCTGGGAATTCAGGCAATTTCAGAAAAGGAGTGGTAATGAAGGAGAATGTGTCTCCCCTGGGAGATGAAGGTGATAAGAAACCTAGCCTTATGGATCTGGCAAAAGAAGATATTAAAGATAATGACAGAACATTACAGCAACAGCTAGGTGATCAAAATAGAACTATTTCATCAGTCCATGGCTTAAACAATGATATTGTGAAGGCCTTGGACCGAATTACATTGCAGAATATTCCTTCTCAAACAGCTCCAGGTTTTACTGCAGGAATGAAGAAGGACTACAGCCTCCCTCTTACCGTGGTTACATGCTCTAAAGCGTGCCCACACGTGGCTGCTTGTGGGAATGTTCTGTTTGAGGGAAGAACAGTTCAGCTGGGGAAGCTTTGCTGCACTGGAGTCGAGATTGAGGATGATGAAGATACTGAGTTTGCTTCTTCAATGGAACAAGTATCAGTTGAAGTTGCTGATGGACCAACACTGCATGACTCAGACCTCTACATTGAGATTGTGAAAAATACAAAGTCTGTCCCAGAATATTCAGAGGTGGCTTATCCTGATTATTTTGGTCACATTCCACCTCCATTCAAGGAGCCTATTTTAGAAAGGCCTTATGGTGTACAAAGGTGAGTTGCAGATTCCTTCTTCTTTCTAAACAAGACCATTGTCAAAATATGAGGCACACTTACAAAAACTGGGTATTTAGAAAGAAAATTGCTCTAGGTTAAAGTTACTATAATTTTTATCCTGTGTTGGGAATTTTACATTGTTTTGAAATTGTCCTTAGGTGTTTAGTTTATTTTCTAAGCTCATTACTTATTCAAGTGAAACCAGCATAATACACCCGACCATATAATGGAAGCACAGAGGATCAGGAAGGGGACTTACTCTGCTGGGAAGGGTGTGTGGGAGTGGACCCATTCCTTGGCACCTCCTGGTTGTACCACAGACTGCACCATCCAGAGGCAGCTGGCTTCTTGCAGTGCTGGAATGGCCCTCAAAAAGCACAGGTGCAGCTAGTATGAGTTATTGTTGTCAGTCTCTTACTCTGCCTAGTTTATAAACTAAACTTTATCCTAGGTGTGTATGTGGAGAAGAAAACATATATAGAGTTAGTTACTGTCTGCTGTTTCAAGCATCCCTGGGATCTTGAAACAACCCTCTCAGACTAACTACTCTGAGAAGTAGCTATGTATTAGCTAACACCCCCAGGCACCTTCGCAATATGGCTTTTGTGACCAATCTACCTGCAGTTCTAGGCACCTGGCTTTCTGAACCAGATCTATTCTTTTTCAGCTACAGTTTGCTACCACTTTTGGTGACTGTTGTTTTCCTTGGCTTGAAGATTGTGAGGTCTCTGGATGGCCGAATCTTCTAGGACAGTGGCAGGGATTTTAGGAATTTTCTAGTAAGCTGTTGGACTGTGTCAGGGGAAGGTCAGGCCTAGAAAATCCTGGAGCTGCAGGGGGTCCGCCTTCCGCTTCCCAACACAAGTGTTTCCCTCCCCTGCACATTTCCTCTCCAGCTGTAGAAGAGAGAACGGACTCTGCAGAATGTGCAGGCCGATTCCCAACTGCTTTTTAGCTATATACCAGTGAGGGTGGGTTTTAAAAATCTGTTTCTTATACAATCGCTGGCTTTTCAAATCTTTACTGCTTCTAATAATGCTGTTATTATGTATACAAAATAATTTGCGGAAGGGCTAGAGAGTGGGTCCACACAATTTCTATGTAACGAGGATAGTAGGCGTTCAAGACTAAAAAAATCCAAAACTATTGAGCTTGTAACTGTATTCTACATGTTATTTTCTAGAACTCAGACTTTAAAAATACTGAAATTTGTCTTGTTATATAGTGATAATTTTTTGGTACACAAAATATATATAGAAGAATGGCCATCTTTAAGAAATTTTTATCATTTTATACTTTATTTTTATCCAAAACTTAATTTGGAGAAAGTTGTGCCTTGGCATATATCAGTGAATTTTGGTCAAACATCTCTTTTATGATTTCAGGACAAAAATTGCCCAAGATATTGAGAGGCTGATACATCAGAGTGATATCATAGATCGAGTGGTGTATGACTTAGATAACCCAAAGTAAGTCTGATTTTTTTTGTTTTGTTTTGTTTTACTTTAATTAGTTTTATTTTTACTGTAAAATTTTAGTGTTATTTTTAAAAGATAAGGGTTATCTTTTAACTTCCACCCGGTTTACTGTCACTACACTTTCAGTTTTTAGCAGGGATATAATGATAATGTAGTAATAAAATCATGTTTATTTACTTGAATTGAATCTATCACAAGCTTTTGTTTGTTCTTAGGTGGACTTTTAATGGGTTTAATAAGGTAAAGGTCACAAATTGATGCTTAAAAATTTAATTTTAAAAAATTAAAATTACTTCCACTCAAGAGAGTGATGTCATCTGAAATTCTTGAATTTTGTCCTGTAATATTTAGCTTTCATATCCTTAGAACAATAAGTTACCACCCCCTTCAAGAGGAATACAAGTTTGCTAATTCTCCACAGTACCTGCTATGCTCCTTTGTCTCTTACTGTTTATAATTTGCTTCAGTCCTTGAAATTACTTGCCTGACTGTGATGCTTGATGTGGTAGTGTCCTTTACAGTTTAGGATTATCACTAATATCATCACATTTTAGGGTTTATGTAAAAGTAAATAAATGAAAATTACAAATTGTGAATGTGACAATTATTTAGTCATTTGCATCATCAAATGATAAATTTAATTAGCCCTCAGTGGATTCTTCCCTCCCGCTTAACATTCCAATATTTTTGGAAAATTTCATATTTTATTGGTCTTATTTGGAGAAAATAAAGCACTTTTCAAAGACTTTTAAATGACTGAAGTTGAAATAATATTCTTAAAAATGAAAAACAAATCTCCTTATTTATTACTCTTAGTTATTTCAACATTTGTAATTCTGTGTCAGACAGACGAGGCAGATGTGGTAAGAATAGAAACTCAAGAATTCTGAGTGTGGCATATTTTTAACTGAAATGATTTTGAACAAAATCTTTGAGCTTTTTGGAGTTTTCCCCTATTAAATGTAGGTTCCAGAAGAGCAAGAATTTGTATTCATTTAGGGACACAGACAAATAACAGACAAAAAAGAGAATCTGGCACCTAGTAGGTGCTCAGTAAGTATTTACTAAAGTAATTAGTTCGTAAAATGAGGATAATACCTCCATCTTTCTAAGTATTAGAAGATAATAGATAACGTAGTTATCTAAATTTAAAATAATATTTTACTTCAGAACTGCTTAGTTACAATTATTAGTACTCAGAACAGGACATGTGCATTTTAAAAAGTAAGTCTGACTTTTTTTTATATGATTACTAGTACATACTTAGAAATGACACTTATTCACCGAGGCAAAAATTCTTATTTTTATTAACATTTGCTCTCAATGTAGGAACAAATCTCTACTTGTAATTATAATATTTTTTCTGTAAGTATTAGCCAGAGTTTGTATTTTGCTTGTGTTGGTTATGTTTTTTGGTTTCAAAAAGGAAGGTGAGGTGGTAAGGGTGGATTTTTTAATCTGTAGTGTATTTTTATGTTTATTATTGCTTATCTACTTAAAGGGAATGCATTTTATTATGCTTACTTTAAAATTTTTATTTAGTTTCATTGTTCCAGAAGAAGTAGATATTTTGAAGTTTAACTCCAAATTTGAATCTGGGAATCTGCGCAAAGTAATTCAAATGAGAAAGTAAGTAATTTAAAATTTTCTCATTTTGTATGTGCACAGATACTTTCCTCATTTTCATCAGAATTCTTCATTTTCTATTTTCAGAAATGAATATGATCTTATTCTGAACTCGGATATAAATAGTAACCATTATCATCAGTGGTTTTACTTTGAAGTCAGTGGAATGCGTCCAGGGGTTGCTTACAGGTTTAACATCATTAACTGTGAAAAGTCCAACAGTCAGTTTAATTATGGTAAGACCGTTTTTCACCCCAACTTAGAGGGCACATAGGATTCATAACCAAGAGATATATAATTAAAAATTGCTAACTTAAAAAAAAAGTTTGTGTTCTTTTGTTTTCTCTGGTTCTCAAAATTCAGATGTTATGCAGAATTTGACATAGACTAAGCTTTGCATTGTTAGTAACGAGAGTTATCCTTGTGTGGAGGCAAGCCCTTTAAAATGTAATGAGTATGGTTGATTTCATCCAAGTTGAATGCCACTATAAATGTATCATGTGTGCTGCTCAAGTTACTCATGTCAGTTCATCTAGAAGAGAATTGCAGAAAGCAATCTTTTTAAACTTTTTATTTTGAATAGATTCATAGAAAGTTAAAAATCACAAAAGCTGTGGAAAGGTTCCGAGTTTCTTCACTAAGATTCATCCAGCGATTACATCATACATAACTGTAGTCCAGTATCAAAGCCAGGATTTGACATTGGTAAAATGTGGGTGCATAATTCTGTGCTATTTTATCACATGTGTAGATTACTGTAATTGTCACCACAATCAAGATACAGTGTACCTCCTTCACCACATAGCCTGTGCTACTCCTTCATATTTCACCATTCAGCAGGATATTAATTGGAGGTTTTTGTACATTTTTAAAATCTATGTGAGGAAGTTTCCATTATTAGTTTTCTGAGACTTTTTATTGTAAATGGGTATTGAATTTTGTCATATGCCTTTTCTTCGTTGATTTGATCATGTGATTTTTCTTCTTTAGCCTATTAATCTGACATAACACATTGATTTTAGAATATTGAATTAGCTTTTTTTATCCATGTAACAAACCCCTCTTGGCCACTGTGTATAATTGCTAATATTTTGTTAAGAATTTTTATATTTCTCTTTAGGAGGGATATTGAGCAATAATTTTCTTTTTGTTTTGTACTCTATTTGGCTTTGGTATGTCTTGATGGTAGTGAGCTTATAAAAGAGTTGGGAAATGTTCCTTCCTCTTATTTTCTGGAAGAGATTGTGTAGATTTAGTATTGATTCTTAAACATTTGGTGGAATTCTCCAATGAAATTACTTGGGCCAGAAGATTTCTTATATGGTGGTCTTTTAACTTAGAAATTCAGTTTCTTTCATATAAATTATCTGTTTTATTTTGAGTGAGTTGTGTTAGTTTGTGTTTTTAGAAATTGATGCATTTCTTCTAAATTGTAAAATGTGTGTTAGTTGATCTGAGTGCTCTCTTAATGTCCTTTTGATGTTGGCAGGGTCTCCAGTGATATCCCCTGTTTCATTCCTGATAATAGCAATTTGTGTCTTCTCTTTCTTTGGCAGTCCTGCTTGAGGCTTGCCAATTTTATTGACATTTTCAAAGAATCAGCTTTTTGCTTCATTGGCTTTCTCTTTTGTTTCCTCATGAGGCAATTAAAAAACAAAACATAACTGGTGTTGCGCCAGAAAAAATATTAAATTCATAGCCTCAGTTATTTAGTACTTTAAAAAATATAGCCCTCGCCGGTTTGGCTCAGTGTATAGAGTGTCGGCCTGCGAACTGAAGGGTCCCAGGTTCGATTCCAGTTAAGGGCATATGCCCAGTTTCAGGCTTGATCCCCAGCAGGGGGAGTGCAGAAGGCAGCTGATCGTTGATGTTTCTATTTCTCCCTCTCATTCCCTCTCTGAAATCAATAAAAATATAAAAAAAACCAACAAACAAAACTATGAGTTCTTTTTCAGCCATCAGTATTTATAGTAAAATATATCAGTGAAAGATAATATAATTGTAAAAACTTAAGATCAGTCATTTAAAATGGAAACATCAATTTTCAAGTATTTAATCTGATAATTTTGGGGTAAAAGAAAATAATTCTTTACAGATATATTTTGTCTGACAAGTTGCAAAATCTCAGAGGTCCAAAGTCATTTGTTGTAAGGATGAAAAGCTTTTAACAACTAAGGAATGAGAGGCCATGTTATCTATTTCAAATGTTTTAACTTATTAAATGCATGAATATGAAGATGCTCTTTAAGGGGGCGTTCCTGAAAATTGAACCTTTCAAGAGTTGAAGAGGTTGTTCCCAATTGTCATTATTTATGTGGAAAACAGGAAATTACCTACTCTAATCACTTTACATGTATGGCATGAAAGCTTTAGTCAGATTCACTAATTTAATGTACTAAGTATAAGAAGATTAGGTAGCATAATAACTGGCTTAGTTATATTAAAATTTTGAAATAATCTAATTTTAAGGATTATTTCAGTGATTATATTGATTTGCATGAATAGTACAAATATTCTTGGTAATTTATTTCACATTCTTAATTTTTGATTTTTAGGTATAAATACTAATCATTGAATGCCCTAATTCTTAGGAACATTTGTTTGTTGATCTGAAATGTTTGTATAACTTTAAAAATGACCTTAATGGACTCATTAAAAATACCCAAAAAAAGTAAAGAATCTTGTGTTTTTCCTATTTAACTTTAAGTATAATGCTAACATAATATTTTAGTGGAGAAAAAGATACATAAATGTAATTGTGTTTGTATTTTGAGTGCTCTTTAAGATTAAAACATAAAGGCATATTTATTGCTGAAATGATAATCAGTATAATTTTTAAATTGTGCTGACTAAGGTAGATGGTATTTTTATGAACTATATACATGTACATACTCTTACTTTAAACTTTATTCAACATTTAAATTTTTAGAATTAAAAACATACATTTGGAATGCTCTTTTTGTTTTTAAAAATTCCATACATTTATAATCTCTTACTCTAGTGTCATTTTAAATTTAAAATGAATATAATTCTTCAACTAAAATAAAGCAATGAGACAGGTGAGTGCTTTAAGTTCTTTTCTTTTTTCTTTTATTTTTTGAAAATGAATTAACTTATTTGTGAACTTACATTTGAGAATTTAAGACACTGTATAATAGTGCTATATGGTATCTGTTGTAATCCATGACCTCTTACCTCACCCTCAGTACTTGAAAGGGGTTTGCTCAAGTTACCACTAGATGGCAGTCTTGTATTTTAGTAAAACTTTGAGCTTTCATTAGAGCTTCCTCTCTGGCACTCTTGCATTCTGTTTTCCTCTCCCATTCCCCTCACCCTCCACTGTCTCCCATATAAATAGGATTTTTAACAACCTTCTTATATAAGTTGAACATTGTAGAACCAGGCAACAAAATAGAATTTTGGAGTCTAGTATGTAGGATTCTAAATTTCCCACATTAGTTAATTTTGTGATCTTTTGACTAAGAAAGTCTTCCCTGACTCTCCAGACTGGATTAGTCTCCTTGATAAATGTTCTTTGTAACCTTTTCCTCTCAGGTTGTTCTTTACATCTTTATGTTGTTATTGTGTGTGAATTAATATCTTCTCTGCCTACCCTTACCACTTGCTTGTAAGTTTCATAAGGTCAGAGAAAGTGTCTCTGTTGCTGACCACTGTATTTATACCATGGCATTTAATTCATATTCAGTAAATATTTGTTAAATGAATGAGGCAATGGATAGATGAACTGGTTTCCTCTTTTATTCAGTGACTTATAATTTCTTTCTATCATTATTTATTTGACACACAATTGCCCAAGATTTGGCCAATGGGATATCTTTTATGCTGGCTTATGTGTCCTTTTGACATATCCCCATGGGATTAAGTGACCACTGTTAGCCTCTAGACCAAGAATCTGGCCTTCCTCTTTTTTAGTATAAGTCTCTGTTGTACTAGCTATGTGTTTTTTCTCTATAGAGCCACGAGCCCAGAAAAAATGCCACTTGTGATAGGTGCCCCTAAGTTTATTCAGGCTCCATCCTAAAGTTTTCTTATTCCTCTGATCTGTTAATTGAGGGTATTATCTTCAACTTGAAAATTTTGTGAATCAGTGATTTCATGGTACATTTGATGATTAATGCTTAAAACACCTTGTCTTTCTTTGTATCTGCACCTGTTATTGAGAATGTACTCAATACAACTTTGGCCTTTACTTGGGTAGTATTAGAGGTTAATGTCATTGGGTGTTGGCTTCACTGTGGCAATTTAATATTTTGATCGTCTATATTCATATGACAAGATGGGAAGTTCTTAGTGTATTTGTTTTATGCACATCAAGGTTTTATTCTTTGGCTAATGACTATATTAATTATTCAAAGATAGCTTTTCTATATCACTTTGAGTAGATTGTGGTATTAAGCCTGAATTATCTCATTTGATTGATTCTTATTGGGCACCCTGTTTTGTTCATATGGCTTTTATTATAGTCAGAATTTCCAAATATAGCTCCCTTCTTATTATTTTAAAAGTAATGTAAGAATACATTGTCTTTTTTATAACTATAATACTTCAGATAAATCTAATGTGCCCTTTGACCTCAGCCTGAATCTCAAAAATGATCATCATTTGTAAAAATAACATGAATTCAATTAACTCCAGTTATAAACCCAGTACATTCTTTTATGAAATAGGATAAGGTGATTTTAAATTTCATGTGGAAAGTATACTTCCAAAAGTACCCAAGAAAATATACTATATATTTAATCCTATTCTTGTTAACAGTCCTTCCTTCTCCTCCTCCCTGCTATAATCACATTTGTAGGGGAAGAAGGTTGAGGAAGAAAATAACCATGCTATTATGATGGCATTTTTCTTTTTCTTCAGTGTAGATAATCCTTGGAAAGCTATAGAGCTATTCCCTTTTCTTTTTTATTGTACTCTTTCACTTATTATAAGATGTGTATGTATATGTGTGTGTGAGTATACATCTATATATATTCCTTTTTATTTTAATCTAACATTGAAAAGTTAATAGAAAAAAGTTTAATGACTTCACTCATTAAAGTTGTAATCTATTTTAGTTAAACTGGAAATTAAATCATATTGATTGACTTATAGATTTTAAAGAAATTTCTCAGATTAAAAAAATATATACTAAACTAATGGCAATGTGTTGTTGCCTTTTTTTAAAAAATATATATATTTTATTAATTTTCTACAGAGAGGAAGGGAGATAGAGAGCTAGAAACGTTGATGAGAGAGAAACATCGACCAGCTGCCTCTTGCACACCCCCTACTGGGGATGTGTCCGCAACCAAGGTACATGCCCTTGACCGGAATCGAACCCGGGACTCTTCAGTCCGCAGACTGATGCTCTACCACTGAGCCAAACCGGTTTCGGCTGTTATTGCCTTTTAACTTTCTGAATATTTGGTGCTTTCTACAATGGCAAAATTAATTTTTATCTCAAAAATTTGGAAATAATTTTCTTTTTCTGTCTCTCTGTCAAAGGTATGCAACCACTCATGTATTCAGTTCAGGAAGCATTAAATGCCAGACCATGGTGGACTCGTGTGGGGACGGACATTTGTTACTATAAGTAAGTATCCTAAGACTACTAGGACATCAATTTACTGAAGGGGATATTAACTTCACTCTTATTTCAATTTAAGGATTAAAAAGTAGAGTTGTTATTGCATTCTTTGAATTGTGGTGATATGCTTTAGTGTTACTTCTAACAGAATCTTTTAAAATTTGAGATCAGTTTAGGGATACATTTAGTGGAAATGTAGTTGATCCTTGAATAATATAGGTTTGAGCTGCACAGAGCCACTTATATGTGAATTTTTTACAATAAATACCTGTACTGTTTTCGCTCTGTGGTTGGGAGTCAGAGAGTTGGGGGGCCAACTATATTCACTCATCTATGCCATGTTACATAGGAGCATCTGCTGATATTGGTTATCTGTGGGGTCCTGGAACCAGCTCCCTTGGATACTAAGGGATGACTGTTATATCGGGGAGTCAAAATGTATATTCTGTTTTTTTTTTAATGTTTTGTTAATCCTTGCCTGAGGGGTGGAGTGTTGAGAGAGAGAGAGAGAGAGAGAGAGAGAGAGAGAGAGAGAGAGAGAGAATATGAATCTATTAAAGGTGTAATGCTAAGTTAATGAAGACTATACCAAGTTGAAAATTCCTTGAAAGTCTATGTATGTGTCTATAGGCCACAGCTTTTCTTCAGTTTGAAGCTTAAATAACACAAGATGATTTGGAAATTTAGAAATTAATTTAATAGACAAAGCATTTTTAACTCATGTCACTGATATTTAAAGTCTGAAAAGTAAATTTACATTTACAAAAACAAATAATAGGATAATGAGACCTCATGTATTCATCACCCAGTTTCAACAGGTATCAACTCAAGTTAGGTTTTAGTTATACTTTCACTCCCACCCCCAACATTCTGAATTTTTAAAAACATTTCCAGATACCATATTTTATCCACTTCAAATACTTCAAAGTTCTTTGTCTTTATATATATATATATATATATATATATATATATATATATATATATGAGAGTCTAATTGCCACAATGTCATTATTACATCCGAGAAAAATCCTTACTTTGATAAAATATCCAGTCAGTGTTCAAACTTCCCCACTTGTCTCAAAACAAATGTTACTGGTTTCAATCAGACCTGCCAAGGACTGCACAGTGCATTTGATTTATGTTGCTATGTTTCTTAAGTCTCTTAATTTATAGTCTTCCCTTTTGTCTCTTTTTATTTCTCCTTTGTTTATTGAAACTAGATAATTTGCCATGTAGGATTTCCTACATTTTGGATTTTCTGATTGTTCCCTTGTGCTGCTAATGAATTCTTGTAGTCTCACCAATTTCCCATAAACTAATAGGTAGATCTAGTTGATTAACTCTATTTATTTGTGTTATTGTTTCTTAACTATTATATTATCTTCTTTTTATATACAAACAACTGTAAACCTGCTTTCACCCCACCCACTGATCCATCCACTGCAAAGGCGTTTATCAGCCTTTCATCTAATGGTTGTAGCAGCCATTGATGATCATTGTATACCAGTAATGTGTATGGCCATCAAAGAATGGGTTCTAAAAGCTTTATTGATGTGTAGCATATTAACTCTATTTATTTAGTAAATCCAGATTTGATTTGTAAATCGGAAGTGAACAGTACCGATGTTGCCTAATAGAAATTGTTTTATTAGTATCAAGTCTATTTTTATAGAATACTTAAGTTGTGCTTTTCACAAACAATGGTTTTTCTCCCCACTTTGAAGTTCTAATTAATATAATAACAAGGAAAAAACATCAGGATTTTGTGTGGAGGAAATAAATGTTTTATGCTTTTTTATTGCAGAAATCACTTCTCAAGAAGTTCAATTGCTGCAGGTGGACAAAAGGGAAAATCCTACTATACAATTACATTCACTATCAATTTCCCACATAAAGATGATGTTTGCTACTTTGCTTATCACTATCCATATACGTACTCAACTTTACAGGTGAGAACTCATTAAGTTGTATTATGATTATTATTGTGTTACATGTATATGTGTCAGATAATAGAAGAAAAATTGCTTTAATTAATTTTATTAATGAAATAAGAAAAAGATCTAGTGTTGAAGATTTTAGATAATAATATATTTGTTGAAAACATTAAAGGGTATAAATGGGGATGTAGTCTTTATTTTTATGTATTAGGAAGGAAATTTGACATTATTTTTACTTTCTATCTTTGGGTAGAAATCTACAGTTCTCTAAGATTCCATGATTTTCAGATTTTAACTGGATGAGATTTCCACCTGTTTAATGAGAAACATTGGATCTGATAGGAAAATCTAACAGTAGAAAAATGTGGATGCAATTCAAGTTTTCTATAGGGAATTTATTTCTTCTAATAGTTTTATATGTAGTCCTAGATCTAGGTTGCTTAGAATTTGGGATACAAGAGTTGCTTTGTGGGTTCTTCTGAGATTTTTTATTATTTGCATTGTAAAACAAAATAAAACAAGTGAATTCAAGTAATTACTGTGGTAGATTTACTCTCAGTACAGAATGGCTATCCTACTGACTAGGGATCATAAAGATATCAATTTACCCATAAAGGAATTGGAGCAGTAGGGATAGAAACAAGCTTCCACATGATTAGAGAGGGGAAAATGAGAGAAAAGCACAGTCCATGGAGCAGCAGAGGCAACAAGGCTTGGGACACTAAATGAGGCTCCATTTATTTTAATAAAGGTTGCATTAAAGGTATTATCAGGTATCTCTCTGAATAACATAGCATCAGAATATATACTGTTGTTATTTAGAGGGTTACATGTTAGTGTTCTTTACTGATGTTTTATAAAAGGTATATAAAAATACCTTTTAATGTATGTTGAATTCCCCTCCTTTCTTTCAATCCCATGACCTTTTTTTCCAGGCATTTGCATGTTTTCTCACCTGGACTTGGTGTCCTAAAACTTACTTTTATCCATTTCCTCTTTGTCTGTCTTTTCCCCACACTATAACAAGAGAGTTCTTTGATGGCAAATCTAATCATATAACATCCCTGCCTGAGAGTCCTTCGTGATTTCTCTAAACATTTGCACAAAGTCTAAAATTCTCACCAAGTCATTTCTTTGCTGTCTTCTATAATTTTTGCCATCTCCACAAACTGTGTGAGCTATTATTTACTTAATATTTATTATTAAATAGTTTTTAAAATAACTCACTCTTTAAATTTATCCACATCCTAAGTTAATATGCAGGGAATTGCAGGTTTAATGCATAGACGTTTTTTCTAATTCACAATGAAATACATACCTATTACATTTTTTAAAGGTAATCCACACAACCTTAGTTATCTCAGTTACCAGTAGTTTGTGTTCTTCATGCACATTTTTCCTCTGCCTGTACCTCTCTCCTCTGTCCTCTTCACTCATCCTTTAGTTCCCAGTTTAAATGTAATATTTTCTTAGGAGACCTTTTCTTATTGCGCAGACTCAGCTAGGCTCTTCTTACCGTAAGTCAGTGGTTCTCAACCTTCCTAATGCCGCGACCCTTTAATACAGTTCTTCATGTTGTGGTGACCCCCAAACATAAAATTATTTTCGTTGCTACTTCATAACTGTAATTTTGCTACTGCTATGAATCGTTGAGAACAACTGCTGTAGAGCCTAAGACCATCGGAAAACACAGATATTTACATTACGATTCATTAACAGTAGCAAAATTACAGTTATGAAGTAGCAACAAAAATTATTTTGTAGGTCTACAGTCATTTATCATTTCAAAATTCAAAAGGCTTTGAGAACCAAAAGCTTTTTCGTAGCCCACTTGGGCAGCAAAGCCTGGCCTAAATTGATGTGAGCCTGTTTAAAATATTGACTCTACTTGGATTCTTCTTATGTTTTGTAGCAGATTTAATAACATGCTTATACAGGCTGCTTCTGACCCTGTTTATGGTATTGCACATTTAAGCCTCGAGTTCCCCAAATACTGATGTTTGAACGACATCTGGCCCCTGAGGGTTCTAGAGGAGGGATTAGGAATCTTATTGACATTTAGTTATGTGGAGATCTAGGTGCATTTATTTCTGTTTTTCATAGGAGTTTTTAAAATAATTGTATATCTTATTTTTACATTTTTATCAAGATGCATCTTCAAAAATTGGAATCAGCGCACAACCCTCAGCAAATCTATTTTCGAAGAGATGTGTTATGTGAAACCCTGTCTGGAAACAGCTGTCCCCTGGTGACTATAACAGCAATGCCAGAGTCTAATTATTATGAACATATCTGTCAATTCAGTAAGTCTGTCTTCTTCACTCAAAATGCCAGTCGTCCTTCCTTATTTTCCTTTGCTTTATGTATATCTGCGAGGGCTATAACACCAGGAATAGGCATCAGAGATCCTGGTCCTGTTACTGCCTAGCCCTTGTCTACTTCTGGGCCTCAGTTTCCTCATCTCGAAAAAGAGAAAGCTTTGTGAGATGATCTCTATGGTCCCTTTTGAAACTGATATTCTTGTAAGTCATAACCATAATGTAACAAATCATTTTAAGAGTTTATGTAATAATGTCATCAATCAAATTTATAGCTAATTTTATTTATAAATAAAACCGCGAGAAAATTATCAAGTGTTTTAATTCTAGCTACTTGTTTTTCTTGGCCATTTATTTTTTTAAAGTTGCCTCAGATATATATCTGGGGTAGAAAAAATAAGAAAACTGTTAAAGTTTTTATAAGCAAGTAAAATATTTTCAGGGAAGAGATCTTGCTTCGCATGAAAATATGATCAGGTGAACTGAGTGTTATTTGGTAGATGGGTATATCTAAACGCATAGTGAAAATATTTCTTTGTAAATTTCTGAGAAGATATGCCTTTTTTTCTGTACTTGTCATAGTGACTGTAAAACGGTTAAGATTATATTTTCCTTCTTTTCCCAATGACTTTATGAAAAATAATTTTATATTTAAAACTTCCCTAGCTACTTGTTCTTTATAAAACCAATATTAAAGAAATATTTTTTATATTAGATTAATGATTGGTAAATAAGTGACTCATGTAGTATTTATTGCATTATGTTCATATTATGAACTCCTTTAGGATGTGTACTTGCATGGGTTTCTATCTGTTTTCCTCTCCAGGACCTAATACAGTGCTTGTTGCTAGTAGGTGCACGCTGAATTCTACTATGAATTCATGATTAAGTAGATATATTTCTAAAGCTCCAAAGTCAAACATCATACAAACTTTTAGTCGTTGTTCATTTTAATTTGAGATTTTATGTGTACCTTAGGAAACCGCCCTTACGTTTTCTTATCTGCTCGGGTACATCCTGGAGAAACTAATGCAAGTTGGGTAATGAAAGGAACATTGGAATATCTCATGAGTAATAGCCCTACTGCTCAGAGCTTACGAGAATGCTATATTTTTAAAATTGTCCCTATGCTAAATCCAGATGGTGTCATCAATGGAAAGTAAGTTAAGCAATAGTTATAGAAATACTATAGATAATTGTGGTCAGCCTATTTAAGATTGTTGAAATAATACTATCCAGGGTGAATTTGGAGAGCAAATCTAGTGATTTTGCTAGAACAAATTTTTAGTGGGGAATTAATTTAAGATACATTTTTAAATGAAAATATATTTTGTATATTAGTAGTATGGCATTTTGATAAATTCTGTACTCATGACAGTATGATTTCATAAAATGTCTGTCTTGCTTGAAATATTTTAGAAAAATCATAGTTTTAGGATATGAGAAAGATTTTTTTTAACATGTCCTCTTATATTTCCTTTTTAATTTTGTTAATGGTGTGATCATAGTTGTAAGATTTAAAATCTCCTGGGATCTCTTTCCACTTATATGGCATGTTGGGTCCATCTGCTAACTTCTTCCTGATATAAGGAAATCCAGTCTCTGACAGAAGGAATTCTTTAGACTGGAGATGCTAGAGGATACTTCTTTTTAAGTGAAGGTAGCTCATTGCTCATTGTTAGTATAATTCATTTATTGTGGCAATTAGACAAGGTCTCTTTAGTGCATTGGAAAGATGGAATTTGACATGAGCATCTCCAAAGTTGAGGATACTGTGTTTTATTCAATAACTATAGCATGAATCTTTCTCATATTTTAGGAAAAATTTAAAAAGAGGATAATTTATTTTTAGCTATGTTATGGTAATGGAACTAAAATGAAATTTTACATTTTATTTTAATCACTTAGAATCCTGTTTATATTTCTGTTATCACCTTCTGATTGTTTGCTTAAATTTTTGCTCAGTGGATGTAATACTTAATACCTATGATTAAATGAAAATGTATTTAAGTATATATGCTTTTCATAAACTAACCTTTCTTAGGAGGGCCCAGATAGCACTTTTAATAATAACTAATACAATCAAAATATAAAATGTTAGTATAAAATGATTATTATGTATCAGAATGGGAAATATGGCCATTAATTTTTATAGAGTATGGAATAAAATCCCAGAATTGAGAATTAGTATTTTTCTATAGCTTGAAAGTTTTGACCTATGAATCTGAAAGCTTATTACCACACTTAATTGCATGTAACACAGGATCTTGGACACAGCAAATGCTTAATAAATGATTATTTAATGACTAAAATATGCATTGTTGAGCCCACCATCTATACCAATTTGAAATTTTTAGTGAAATAGAATTTGATTCATCAAATCAAATCAAATATATATTAGAATTTATTGGTATTAGTGTTTGTCTATCATTGTGTTTGCTTTTGTGTAGTCACCGCTGTTCTTTAAGTGGAGAGGATTTGAATAGACAATGGCAGAGTCCAAATCCAGATTTGCATCCTACAATTTACCATGCAAAGGGGCTGCTACAGTACCTGGCTGCCGTGAAGCGCCTACCACTGGTAAGTGCCAAGATTTGTTTGTGCTTTGTACAAAGACATGACTTTGTTGATTAATGACTTAGTATTTTATATATTAATAGAGGTCCGGTACATAAAATTGTGCACTCTGGGGTTAGGGGAATGTCCCTTAGCCCGGCCTGTGCCCTTTTGCAGTTTGGGACCTGTAGGGGGATGACTGGGACCCCTTGCTCCTTGTCACCCACCTGCTTGCTGCTCCTTACCACTTGGCTCACTGCTCGTTAGCACAGCTGCGGAGGGAGGTGGGAGAGACTCCTGCCACCGCCCATGCGCTCGCCTGCCATGAGCCGGGCTTCTGGCTGAGCAACACTCTCCTGTGGAAGCGCACTGACCACCAGGGGGCAGCTCCTGCAATGAGTGTCTGCCCCCTGGTGGTCAGTGCATGTTCTAGTGACTGGTTGTTCTGCTGTTTGGTGGATTTGCATATTATGCTTTTATTATATAGGATTTTCTGGTTATAAAAGCTAAGTGTTAATTTTAGAAGCAATTTCTTCAAAATATCTTTTTCTGTTATCAGTCACTTGTGTACTAATTATGGTATGAATATAATGTATTTATATTTTTATTACATCAGATTTAATTTTTATAATTCTCATGAGCTCTTTAATTTTTAAAATTTTTAATATTGGCAACTTCTGGTTATAATTTTAGGTATTTAACTTCACTGTTTGAACAATACTGAGGTAACAGTATTTTTAAAATTCTCATACTAGTAGCTTATATCTGAGCTCTTTGGTCAACTCTGAAGCTGGTCAGTCTTGGCTACTCACGGGGGAAAGGTAGTATAGGTGGGGTGGGAGGCTCCAGGAGCTGTGTGAATGCGCTTCTGCTTTCAGCAGCTTTTGTTTAGAATGTTTCTATTCTGTTAGTGTTTAAATGAGTTAATCTTTCTTTAGGAAAGAAACATTTTGCAGAGGGGAAAAATTGGCATGTGAGCCTGTCCCTTCATTTTAAAAATGATGTTCTCAAAAATTAAATTGAAACTATCCCCTTAAAAAAAACCTCACTTATTTTTATTTTTTAAATTATTGAGGAGAGAGAGAGAGAGAGAGAGAGAGAGAGAGAGAGAGAGAAAGAGAGAGAGAGAGAGAAAAGAAAGAAGAGAGAGAGAGAGAGAGAGAGAGAGAGAGAGGGAGAGAGAAAGAGAGAGAGAGAGAGAGAGAGAGAGAGAGAGAGAGAGGAGACAGAGAGAGAGAGAGAGAGAGAGAGAGAGAGAGAGAGAGAGAGAAGATATGAACCTGTGACCTGAGTATGTGCCCTGTCCAGGAATCGAACCCACCACCCTTTGGTGTATAGGACTGTGCTCCAACCAACTGAGTCATACCAGTCAGGGCTCCCATGGGCCAGGGCTTAAACCACACTGTTTTTAATAGTGTTTTTCATGAGAACATTTTCATGTGTTTTTAAATTAGGTAAATATTTTAACAGCCCTTGGGGCAGTGATGACAACAGATGTAGATTTAACCTATAATTGAATTTATTATTTTTTATAATGGTGCATAGGAGATATATAAGAAAAGAGTGGAATTTGTGATTTGATGCAGGTCTTGCAAAGGACTTTCTATCCATTCTAGTAATCATAAGTTTCTTTCCAAAACTAGATATTTCTACTTTTATTGACTCTACTTGCTAAGTGGTGGCTCTACTATAGTAAAAGGATCAAGGAACACAGACAAGTTTATTGGCTTAATAGTAACTAGATTTACTTGACAAATATATGAATTTGAGGGTTTTTAATTCTTAAAACATATAATCTTTTCAAGGTTTATTGTGATTATCATGGCCACTCCCGAAAGAAGAATGTATTTATGTATGGCTGCAGCATCAAGGAGACAGTGTGGCATACCAATAATAATGCAAGTTCCTGTGATGTTGTGGAAGATGTTGGATACAGGGTAATTATAACAGATAAGTCAGGAGTTTTTGAGATACAACCATATATACAACTGCAGAAAATAATTTAACATAAACTACTCAGTTTCTGTTCATGTTGCCATTTTGCTATTATGCTTTCAAATTTTTCATTTTAAATGTTTCTTCCAAATGTTTTTGCTTTGCACATTTAGATGTTTATCTTGAATTTATTTGATCTGCGTTGTGGGGACCTATTTAGTTTTATGTATAAACATTGATTAAAGAGCACATCCTTTCTCAGCCGATTTTATAAAGCCGTCTGTGGCACACCACTTTCCACATGCACGGGTGTGTTTTGAGGTATGCTGAGGACGGACACGAGATCTTAACTGCTTTAAGCCCAGTGTGCTTCCATTCTCCTCCTACATTTATGCCTAGACAAGCACCCTAGGTTAATTTGCAAAAAAGTTTCAGTAACTTAACACTGCCTTTAGCAGAAGGTCAAATTACATTTTTATTTTTGGTTCTCTCTTCCCCTTTTCTTAATAAATAAAATGTTAGAGTTATATAAAAAATGGAAACAACCGAGGAATTCAAAGTAGTCAGTGGAAGTCATCTCACAGTTACTGATTAAGCAGTTTTGCTATTCTGAACACATTAATTCATAGATTATACCTAGAGCATATGAAGTTTTTGCTTGTTTTCCAGTGCTCCACAGCTCCTTGTTTTTTCACATTTGTTGGCCATCTTTCCCGGCTCTCACATGGAGATCTGTGTCAGTCTTTATGACAATTCCACAAGATTTCCATTGTGTGATTTTGTTCTTGTTGTTCGGTTGTGCCAAAATTTACCCAGTTACCCTCTGGTGATGGTCATTTAATTAGTATGCCAAATTGTTCTTCATAAAGATTATACAAATTGATGTTCCCCAGTATAATGAATGATAGTGCTATTTCTCCACATCTTTATTACATAATGCTATTATTATTATTTTTTGCTGGGTTAAAAAAATACCTTATACTTTTAATTTGCGAATCTATAATTTTTAGGATGAGTATTTTCTCATATGTTTGACCAATTATGATCTCTCTCTTTTTCAAAATAGGCATTTTGCATATTCTCTACTTACTTTTGTGGTGGTCACCTAGTTATTGTTTTTTAAACTATGTGTATTACAAGTGTAGCAAATGTTTTTGTGATGTATAGTAATTTAAAACTTTTATCATATTTGTTGAATTCTTAAAAAATAGCTTCTGGGTTTTAAGGGTTAGAAAAACTTTTCTCATTCCAAGATTTAAAAGTATGGTTCTATGTTTACTGTTTTTAGTTTCATTTTAAAATTTTACATTTAAAATTTCAATCTAATTAGAAGTTAATTTAATGAAGATGAGTGATTGGAGCTTGTTTGTCTTAGTGGCTACCCAGTGGTGTCAGCGTTAGTGAGGGATCAGTCTTTTCTCTAGTAACAGTAATAACTTTAACAGCTACCTTTGGTTCTAATTTTTAATCTTTTCTTTCTAGAGATTATATCTATTCGTGCACCAATACCATAATTTAACTTAACCTTAGGCATATAATTTAGGTTAATATCTGCTGGTTTATTTCTCTAGTCATTGCCTTTTCTTTCAGAATTCCTCAGGGGATATTCCCATATTTACAGTTTCAGGTGAACTTCAGAATGATTTTAAGTTGCCATAAATGTTGTGGACATTTTGATTGTGATTGTCTTAGTTTTATTGATTAATTTGGAATGATTGACATTTACAGTGGCAAATCTTTTTGTTGTTGTTGTTAATCCTCACCAGAGGATATTTTTTCGCATTGATTTTTAGAGAGAGTGGAAGGGAGGAAGAGAGACAGAGAGAGAAAAGAACATCAGTGGGAGAAAGATACATCGATTGGTTGCCTCCTGCACACCCCTCAACCAAGATACATACCCTTGACTGGGAATTGAACCCAAGTCCCTTCAGTCCGAAGGCTGATGCTTTAACGACCGAGAAAACCAGCTAGTGCTACGTGGCAAATCTCTTAATTAGTCAAGCCATCTTTCATGACTGTAAAGTTTTTTCATTATTTAAAACATGTTTCCTTCATGGATTTTCTAACATAAGTTTTTATTCCACTTACTGGATACTACTATACTAAGTAAATGTGATACTTTCGTCCATTCTATTTTCTGATTATTTTTCTAGGAAAGCAGAAATTGTAAATTAGAAAGAGAATTATCTTGATGTGTATAGCAAGAAGATCTGCATGACCCTGCTTTAATCACTGTGCTTTCATGAACATTTTTAAAGATTAAAAACTTAGAAAAATTTGTTAGAAAATTTCTTGAAATATTCTATTTTATCATTCTTATCTTTGCAGACTTTGCCTAAGATACTGAGCCATATTGCCCCAGCGTTTTGCATGAGTAGCTGTAGCTTCGTAGTGGAAAAATCTAAAGAATCCACAGCACGTGTTGTAGTTTGGAGGGAGATAGGAGTACAAAGAAGCTATACCATGGAGAGTACTTTGTGTGGCTGTGATCAGGGAAAATATAAGGTAAAACATTTCAGGATTTCTAGCCTTAAAATAATATTTGACGACTTTTTTTCATATGTATAATCCAAAGGTTTTCAAGTATATATTCCATGATACATTTGATATGCTGAGTTATATGTAATTTGCAATCATGAAATTGAATTGTATGCAGCCATAAACATTTAAAAAAATTCCTTTGAACCAAATAGCTTGCTTTGGATTCTCACAAAATCTTGAGTATATTTATATTCATACTTTTTAAGAAAACATATTGTTATAAATACTGATTAGTAATTTATAATGAGTTGTGCAAGTAATACATTATTAATAAAATGTTTATATCATTTTAATTTGGATGTAAATATGTTTTTATGCATTTAGAAATAAACACACCACACTTTTTTATAAAGTTTTTGAGATATATTTTTATTGTTGAAAGTATTTCAGATTTCCCTCTTTCCCCTCCACTGACCGCCCTCCTGTGTCTCATTTTTAAATGCATATCCCTTCACTAAATATTTTTCTTTACTAAGACTACTCTTCGGTAGTGCCATGCACTTTTATTGGAAACAATCTGAGTTTAAACTCTGCTTTTGAAATATAAGACTAATAAAATATTAGGTGACTTTGAACTTAAAATTTTTAAATATTGAGAAATTAATGGACAATGAATTGGACTTTATATATGCAACAGCAAACCTGAACATCTTTCTTGCCTTGGCACAGAAAGGTTTTTTAGGTGTCCTGTTTTGTTTTGTTTTTGACGTAGGGCAAGAGGGAACTGAATCTAATAGAGATTTTCATTTACTTCACATAAAGATGGTTATTACTTTATGTTTTGAAAGAGCTAAAAATCTTCCAGTTGTTTAGTATTAAAAATGTAAACATATTACAGTTGTCAGAATGTTTAAGTGGAGAGAGAGCCTAAGTAATGACTTTTAGTCTGAAACAAGCTGGAAGAAGATTTGGTAGATTTTTGCAACTGACATTCAAGCTTTTGGGGCGTGGTAGAATAGAACTTAATGACATTTCAGTACTTTCTGTTTTGGGTTGACTACCGTATACTCTTCTTCCAAAGTGTAATAATAACTTTTGAATTCTCTCCAAATATTGTAAAACGGTGACTTCTAGTTTGCTAAAAGCATGATGGTGATGAGAAAGAAAATATAGCTTGAGCACCATTCTACTCCCCCAAACTCTGTCCCCCAATCATTGCTTTAGTGGACAACTCTACCATGGACATTCAAACTCCATGAAGAGAAGTGTGTATTACTAAGCCAAGTTTTTTTTTTTTTATGTCTGAAATTCAATTCTTTGATCATAACATACACTTCCTTTTAGTTTTTTCCTTTTTTTGATTAATTAACTTTTATATTTTAGAATAGTTTCAGATTCACTGAAAAATTGAGTGAAAGTACAAAATTCCCACCTACCTCCATCCCACACATGCATATAATTATACTTTTCAAACTTATTAATATTAGCTAATAAGTTGTGTGAGTCTAATTATATTTTTTTAAAAAAGATTTCTTCACCTTGAGAATGTTCTTTTATTACTGTATTTTAGGCTGTAAATGTTCTTTTCCTATGAAATAATTCAGAAATAGGCATAGCCTTTCTAAAGCTCTTAAATTAAGATGGCCAAACTCATTAAATAATCAGTTAATCAGTCATTATTATAAAGGCATGTAGGTTAATTAATAGTTTTTACAGTTTATTTTTTTCATTTAGCCTGTGCCTTTAGTCCTGTCATTGAGAAGTTGTTTCTGTACAGTACCTTGTCTCTAAATAATGTCAGCTCTCATCTATACATCCAGCTTTTATTGGTGCAAGACTTTCACTTATTTTAGAGACTTATTTTTATCTGAAAATTACATGATAAGCAAAATCTTGATTTACACTCCATTTTTATCCTTTTACATTGTTACATTTAACTTCCAGAAAACCTTATATTGTTTATTGAAAACTCCTATGTATAATGGGTATGGGTGTTGTGCTAAAATTTTCTCTTTGCCTTAGAAGACAAAATTTGAAATGGGCATTCTTAATTGACATGGAATATAGGAACTTATTTTACTAATACTCATTGGCTTAGATTTGTTTGTTTCTTTTTTGACATAGTTACCTTTCTTTTGTTTATCATACAATAAAAGTACCTATAATGTTCAAGTATACAAATTAGAGCCTTGATTTTAACTCTATATTTCAACCTTGGCATCCAGAGTAGTGGATTATAAGAAATACTAGCGAGATCTTGCAAAAATCTAATTTCCACACATTAATTCTAAGAGTAACATAAGCACAAAATGTTTATGTATTTTTTCTCTCCAGTGTATTGGTGAAAATAGTTTGCATTTAATGAATAAGAATAGACAGTTTAGAAATGATTTTTAAAGACAGTTTCCTTTATGACTTAGAATATCTGATATTGCTAAGACATTCTGTTGAGTCCTAGGTCCATAAAAAATATTAACCTTCTAATCTTATTAATATAATTATAAATTTTTTAAATGTAATTTTAATGTGATACATCCAGAGGATAGCAGTCATCATAGCTACACATATAATATTGCTTTATACCCAGGGCTTACAGATTGGTACACGAGAATTGGAAGAGATGGGAGCAAAATTTTGTCTTGGTCTGTTGCGTTTGAAAAGACTGACATCCCCATTGGAATATAGTCTGCCTTCCAGCCTGCTTGACTTTGAAAATGACTTGATTGAATCAAGCTGCAAAGTAACTAGGTGAGGAACACTTGTTTATTCTGTTGTTACCTTGTAGTATTCTATTAGACTTCATTAAATCAGTTTAGCATAGAAAAGGCACACAGAATTTTGACAGTTAAGAACATTTTTAAGATTACTATAATTAAGTTTACATATTTAATATTTGTTCTAAGTTGTAATAATATTATTAATTCTTTAATATTGATTTTTTAGATGAAGTTTTAATGAAATATTCTTATATTATGGATGCTGTTTTTAGTGATTTTAATGGTTTACCTTTAACCTTCCAAAACAATGTGGAAACAATATGTATATCAGGTAATATCTAAATTAAGAGGGCTTTAGATTTAGGATTCATACTTTAAAATAGGGATGTCGAACTCAATCAGAGAAGGGGCCAAAATCTAAAATCTAGCCTAAATCGCGGGCCGAATGGTTTACTGAACAGTCATAAACTGTCATTGTGATGGAAACGCAGCAGAGTGCAGTGATGACAGCGCGGTGCGGGCCACATTGCAAGGCCTGGCGGGATGGATTTGGCCCACGGGCCTTGTGTTTGACACATGTGCTTTAAAAGGAAGTCTACTTTGTTGTTATCTACACACATCATATATCTTTCCGATAAACTTCTGGTTACCTATACTAGAAACAGCTAATTTAGTACGCCTTTGAAACTTGAACTGTATCTGCCAAATATTCTTCTAAATGGGTAAATTTTGATTCTTAAAATTCAATGTATATAAAATTTGGTCAGCTATAGGATCAGAAACAATTCGGTATCATAGTTCTTTAAAAAAATTTTAAAAATATATATTTTTATTAATTTTTTACAGAGAGGAAGGGAGAGAGCTAGAGAGCTAGAAACATTGATGAGAGAGAAACATCGACCAGCTGCCTCCTGCACACCCCCCACTGGTGATGTGCCCACAACCAACGTACATGCCCTTGACCAGAATCGAATCTGGGACCTTTCAGTCCATAGACCGATGCTCTACCACTGAGCCAAACCAGTTTCGGCAGTATCATAGTTCTTAATCATAATATTAGATTTTAGAATTTTATAGTTTGATATATGAGTAAGAATACTGTCATTATTACAGAACCTTAATTTTTGTTGTTAGATATTGACTTGTCATCAGATTTAATTATTGCCATGCTCTATTATATATCAATTTGGCAGTTTTAAGTAGTATAGTAAAACATCAGTTAGAACTCTGTTCATCGTGATAGCTGACAGAGTGATCACCTGAATTTTCTACCCTTGAAAGTGTCTGCTAAACAATAACAAGCTAATATAAAGTTTCTTAGTTATTCTCACTGATGTGTAGAAGCCTCTTTTTAAGTTATTTCATGTATTCTCCACCCACCCTATCTTGTTGAGGTATAATTCACAGATAAAATTGTAAGATATTTGAAGTATGCAATGTGACGATTTGATATGTATATACAATGTGAAAATATTTCCCAAATTGAGTTATTAACATATCCATCCATTACTGTACACATTTGTGTGTGTGTGTGTGTGTGTGTGTGTGTGAATATTTAAGTTATACTCTCTTAGCAAATTTCAATTATCAATCTAGTGTTATCGACTATAATCACCATCACTTCCACAGACCTTATTCATCTTAGAACTGAAAGTTTATATTCTTTCATCACCCTCTCCCTATTTCCTCACCCCAGTCCCTGGCAACCCCTTTTCTCCTGTTTCTATGAGTTCCATTTTTTTCCTTTCTTTTAGGTTTCACATTGAAGTTACATCATTTATTATTATTATTTTTTGGCTTATTTCACTTAGCATAATGTTCTCTAGGTTCATCCATGTTGTAGCAAATTAAAATATTTTATTTTTTAAAAAAAGAATGGCTTATTGATTTTTAGAGAACAAGGAAAGGAGAAGAGAGAACTATCAACGTGAGAGCATAATATCAATCAGCTGCCTCCTGCCTGCCCCCTACCAGAGATCAAGCCTGCATTCCTGCATCCCTGACAGGAAATTGAATCAACAACTTTTCCGTGCATGTGATGATACCTAACCAACTGAGCCACACTGGCCAAGTTTCCTTTTTTTAAGGCTGAGAAATACTCCATTTTAATCTATGATAATTATGAAAAACTAGAGGTCTAGTATATGAATTTGTGCATAGGTGGGGTCCAGCTGGCCTGCCCTGATTGGGGCTAATTGGGCTGGGCTGGCCGCCTCCCCCCCATCCGGGTGGGGGGGGTGTTGATTGGGGCTACAGTGTGCATCAAAGCAACAGGTTGTCCTAGCATTCCAGTCGCTTGACTTTTATATGTATAGATAAGTTTTCAGTTATTAAGTGTATCTACCATGCTTCATTCAATAAATATAATTTAGTTTCATAAATAACAATGGAAATTTAAAAAATAATTACAAGTTTAACAAAGTTTAAAAACTGATCTGTTAAAGTATTTGACTTAGAAATCTTGAAACCTCTGAATGTAAGACTTTATATTAAAAAGCTCACAGATTCTTAAACCATGTTAGTATTACTATGTATATAAGCTATTAATATAACTAACTTTCTTTTTATTTAATGTTTGTTTTTAACCATCTGTCTCTTTATATTTAAAAATGTCTCATAATTAGGACATAGTTTTTATAAATTTTAATCTGGCAGTTATATTTAATTGAAATATTTAGTTCATTTACATTTATTATAATTATTGACATATTTAGACAACTCTACCAGCTTATTACATGTTTGCTGTTTGTTTCACTTGCCCTGTGGTTTTTGTTTGTTTTTCCTTTTTTAGATTGATAGATTTTAGATTGATCTCAGGTTTATATTGATTTTGTCCTCTTAATTTCTTTTAATGGATACTTGGTATACTTCACACTTTCTCAGTTTATCAAAGTCAATAGAAATTTGTACTTTTATCTTTTCCTGGACAACATAGGATCCTTAGAACATGTTAACTCCATTTAACTCCCTCTCTTAATATATGTGCTGCTGTTGTCAGATATTTTATGAGTATACTATTGATATTTTAAACTTTACAGGCATTATTACTGTTTCATGCAGTCTTTGGGTTTCCTCATACATTTACTGCCCTCTTTCCCTCCTTTCCTCTTCATTCCTTCCTACATTTCATTTTTTATCTTAAGTAGTTTTTCTTTTGTTCAAAGAATACTATTAAATCTTTATCTTTAGTTTTGAGGGATTATTTTGGTGGATAGGTAACACTGTCCTTCATTGAAGAGGCCATTCTATTGTTTTTGGTCTTCTGTTGAGTTGTTAAATTAGGTGTCAGTCTGAATGTTGCCCTTTGAATGTAATCTATCTTTTTAAGCTAAGTTGCTTTTATGAATTTCTCTTACTCTTTGGTATGTAGGGATTTTTCTTAGGGTTTTATTTATTTTGCCTGGGTTCACAAGGTTTCTTAAATCTGTGGCTGAATATCTTTTGTCAATTTAGGGAAATTCTTAGCCAATTTCTCTTCAAACATGGATTCTGCCCCATTATGTCCTTTCTGGGACTCCATTTACCTTTAAGTTTGACCTTTTCATAGATCTTACTCTCATGAATAAGTTTCTGCTCTTTGTCTTTCTGTGCTGTGTTTGGGCTTTTAAAAAAAATCTTTAATTTGCTAAAACGGTTTGGCTCAGTGGATAGAGCGTCGGCCTGTGGACTGAAAGGTCCCGGGTTCGATTCTGGTCAAGGGCATGTACATCGGTTGCGGGCACATCCCCAGTAGGGGGTGTGCAGGAGGCAGCTGGTTGATGTATCTCTCTCATCGATGTTTCTAGCTCTCTATCCCTCCCTCCTCCTCTCTGTGAAAAAATCAATAAAATATATATTTAAAAAAATGTTTAATTCACCCATGCTCTCTTAGGCTGGGTCTTATCTGATGTGAAATTTATCTTTTCAGTTATTAATTGTAGCTAATTAGGAAAGATTTAGACATTTTCCTCCTAATCCTTTGTATTTAGCAAAAGTGTTATTTTACATGTCACCTGAACTATTAAATAGTTTTCTCAGTACCCCTCATTTAAAAGATTTGAGAACTGATAAACCATTTAAAAATATTTCTCATTAGGATTTTGCAGTGATGACTAAATTTTAGTATATTGGGCATATGGAAGAAGTATCTGAAATTTGAGTATGTTTAAAACATTATAGAAAACTGAAGTTGAAAAATACCAAATTCTGTATAGTGTTTCATCGTAATACAAAATGTGCCCATATTGAAATGAAGCCTAATTACTGCCTTACAATCAAACAGTATTTGGACTTCTTTTAAAAAAATCGAGATAAAATTTTCGCATAGCATAAAATTAAGTATTTTAAAGTGAACAATAGAATGGGGTTTTAGTATGTTCACAATTTTGTGCAATCACCTGTCACCTCTATATAGTTCCAAAATTTTATCCAACCCCCCACAAAGGAGACCCTCATACCCATTAAACAGTCATATTCGGCCCCTGGCAACCATAGCCTTCTTTATGTCTCTGTGGATTTACCTATTCTGGATATTTCAAATAAGTGGAATAATGCAATGGGTGACCTATTGTGTTTGGCTTCTTTCACCTTGCTTGTTTTGAGGTTCATCCTTGTTGAAGCATGTGTATTAGTACTTAATTCCTTTTTATGAGTACAGCATGAACATTAGAAACTTTGATGAGAAATTGTTCCTAATACAACTAGTAAAATAAACAGAACTTAAGCTAGGGAAAAACCTTTAAAATATGCTTAGTTTTACTTCTATTTTGTATTAAAAATTTTTTAATTCTAATTTGATGAGTTTTGATAAAGATAAAGTATCTTTTTAACAAGGTATAGGGAGTAAGTACAGGTCTGTGGACCAGTTAACATCTTTATGCCCCTTGTTTAAAGGCTGTACTGACCCTGTCATTATAAGAGACTGCCTTGAAGTTATTATAAAGTAGTGATAAAGATATTGATTGCTATAGACTCTATAGTATAGAGTATTAACACTAAAATGAACTATTAAACTCTATATTACCCACACTTTCTTTATGTGAATCTAGCGTT